TCTATCTCGACAATATTGAGCCTGGGAACTGAGTCAAATACAGATATCGTGTTAGTTAAAATAATAAAGGGGACTTACAAGGAAACAACAATTTGAAGCCTCCAATTTGTATGGAAAGCTTGATATCCTCCCCTGGTATGTGCAATTTGCCGAAGACCATGTTTGTGCATATAGAATCTGTCTCGCGTGCCCCAGAATCTCTGGGTATTCCATGAATATTAGTCCTCGAAATTTGGGTTTGCTGAATTTCGATCAAAAGCGATCAAACTTTTCTTACCGACGGGGAGATACTGCATAGATAGCAAGATTGAACGTACCTCAAAGGTGAGGAGCCGCACGACGCCGGCGAAGACCTCATCTTTAATTGCATTTGTCGAATTGCTAAGCCATAGATTGATAGTACCTATGGCCTCGGTTTTAAATTTCAAGGTTTCCGATTTGTCCTCATCTTCTCGCCGGTCATTGAGGTCAGCAGCTGCATGGGCTAAAATCCCGTTGAATGACGCGGCATTTGATAGGTCGAGTGGTATCCAAATATCTTTGAACGGGGAAAACATCTGCGATTTGAGCCCTGAATGTATGAGCTCGGCATGCATACCGAGCCCTAGGACAGCAGGTGACCTTGTCAGTATTCGGGACATTTTGATGTGGTAAAATTTGCTCCATCTGGGCTTACAATGATAGAAATACCGGTGATGATGTGCTGAAATTTGAAACGAGCCGAATCCAGCTTCCTGGTATAAGCTTGAAGATAATGCAAAGTTGATACCAGAAAATATCTGCTGGGAGATACCAGGTGCTCTTGTCTCCTTGATCGAGATAGAAGAGTCATGAAGATACGAGTAAGCGTCTTCTGTTGGTTGAAATTGAGACTGACTGGGACTATCGCGCTCGTCTTTTGCTCGCACTTTGCGGGATAACAATGGTCGCAAAGCTGGTTTGGTATGTCCGGCGTCTTCTTGGCGTCGCTGTTCGCTCTTTTTATGCCTCCAGTAGGATTTCATTGCGTGGCTTCGGTAAGTGGTATTCCCCATACCACTAACAAATGCGAATTCAGGCGGACCAGGCTCTGGTATTGTTTCGAAATAGGTGCGTGCTTTCTGACTATCGTTGTCTGGGGATTCGCTTCGATTTGTTTTATTTACAATTCGGGATCCCATCGCTGTTCAGTGCATAAAGTTTTTGTTAGCGATCAGGTTGAAAAGGATCTATTGTGCAGATTTTCTTTCCTCTGCAACCGTATAGGTTTAAACCCTCCCAAAGCCCTTTTTGCCATTCTCAATGTAGACTGAAAACCTTAGCGACATAGCCCGTGTGTGTACATGTATTACTGATGACCCGTCTCGTATGCCCATGAAGCTGTCTCGTAAGAGCTATGGATTCATAAATGCTTACACTGGGCAAACCCGCCTAGCTCTGGATTCATTTCTTCTATGCAAGCACTCAGTAAACCTTTCGAAGGAAGTTCTCTTCTCAATACCATAACGCTGCTGAACATGGCAAACTGGTTTTAGTCTTCATAAGGTATATCCAAGCAAATAAACAAAATTACTAGCAGTTCCAAAAGAGGAAGTACTACCTAAAATAGATTCGCTGAAATGTAAAAATTCAATTGGTCAATAGTGTTTCCTTATTCGCTAGTGGATATCGACAATGCCATGAAATTTCGCAGTGCCCCACGTCTCAGGTGAAACCCAGTGCATTGATCTCGACGACATTGGAAATCACATCATAGCTTTGCCGATAATTTAGGCAAAGATGAGATTTCCCTAAGCCTTTTCAAAGATTCCAGGGCACTAAAACCTGTATTATTCTACGTATTCGAGGAAGTTGCCGTTGGAAATGATTGCGAAGAGATGTGCCGGTCAGGTTCGGCTATAACTTTCAGGCTCAGGTACTCCGGGGAGGAAAGTGGATTGATGCCTGAATAGAGGAAGTTTATAGCATGATGCCCGCTCAGTAGATGAGCTGGAAGTGAAACCCTCGTATGTTTTCTGCTGTATGTTTTCTGCTAGCCCTTATTACCGATCATCGCAGTTTTGCAGCTAATTTCTGCCTGTCTTTCAGGAGGCCTTGAAATTTGTCGTCTCAGTGATAAGAGAAATTCACCTCCATGCTATGTAGAGAGTTCCAGTGCGGCATGGGGTATGCGCACCTCGGCGTTTACCAGGAATGAAATACCGAAAACAGTCTCATGGTATATTGCGACAAAGGTTTCATTTTTGAGAACAGCCCATAATGTTTACATGCTTTTCCGACTCAGCGCAGCTATCCTCATCTGCTACTGCCTACCTGAGAGGGACGATAAAGCATTATTAATGGACCTATGCTGCAATGCCTCGTTCCTCACCCCTGGTACTGGCATATGTTCGCCTGTTTGCAGCTGCTTTGAGGATCGACAGAACCAGATTTTACATACAAGTCGGGGAGTCACTAGGCATCTAACGTATGGAACACCAATCAAACCACGAATAACAGATCAGTTACTTCGACTGTCACGATAATGGCTCTCACGTAAAGGTCGCTCGTTAAGGAATTTTAGAAATATTCGACCATTTGCAGTTCCGACGTGAAGGCAGAGATCTAATTAGGCGTTCGGTCGGCGTGCTAAAGGGTGACGTTCTTCTAACTCAAAGAGCCGACCGTGTAAAACGCTCCTCTTCTATCAGTTACAGAGGAGAGAGTAAAGACACTTAACGAGAATACAGTATTTGCTGACTCTTTACTTTCCGTCGATACTCATTCTATAATTGAAAGCCCCCTTGAAATCAATTTTGTCGAAGTGAAAGATTATGTGCGAAAGCAAATAATCAAAGTTTTCCTTTTTGATCCATAAGCTAACTCGAAAACTAAATAACATGCCGAGATTTGAATCATACTAGGCGAAATAGAGAATACCGATCTCGTATCCAGTCTCTAGGGTCATATTGTCTTGTTCTTCAGAGCAGCTCCCTGCCGGTAGTAGGGAGTGGCCAGGATGAGGTAGAGAATCATGGGCTGACCATCAAGAGTCCCTGTCTGGGTGGAGAATGCAACAGATATTGCGAATCCATGGCCAGAGGGAATGAGTAGCAGGGGGGCTTCAGGGGCCACATTACAATATTATCGTTTCAAAGATGCACTCCAAAGATACGTTTACCCAAGCCTCGGAGCCGCCAAATTCTCAATTCCAAACCTGCCTCTAGGTAGGGTAGCGGTGAGAACATGCAACTGAAGATCAAGAAAGCCTGAACACGCCACACCTATGAGGCAATACAGTAGGTGATTTTATTGGCCAAATACTATTACCGAAGTTGGCTTTCATAGTGGGGCAGTGAGGGTGCCCCACTGGCCATAGAATTTTATCAAAATTGGCCAAATTTCAAAACACGTTATGATATCAGATTATACATACCATGACAGAAAAAAAAAAAACAAGCTCAGCGTACTTCACTTTCCTTGGTGAAATCTAGAGAAGGTGGTTTGATGGTGTATTGCCCTTAAGATAAAACCTCACCAAATATCGTTTAAGCCCAACAAATTCCAACTCTTTCCAGACATTATTGACGTACATCGGACAAGTCGTCTGAGAATAGTTTCCGAATGCATGCGGAGCCTGAATGGAAATACTTTTCGACCAATCGCGCATTGGATCAAACTGCGATATCAGAACAGTATAACGAGCCCTTTATTTTCAGACGTTGTATCATATTCAACTTGTGAATTTGCAAGACAGCTAAGGCCAGGGGAGAAACAACAACTCAAGGCGCAAATTGTATTGTTATATCTCAGGAACCACACTATTTAGCAACTTCTAGTAATCAGCAATTTTTAAATGACTTCCTGCGCTATATTTTAAGCCTAGATTCGTCTATCCTAGACTAAATTACCGGTACTGCGCACAGAAAAAGTAGTTTCGTACCCCGTGGAGGTGTACCCGCTGTGTTGAAAAACTTACTATCGAATCGTAAATACGCTAAGTACCTTAATTATAGTGCTACGGAGCTATTGATAGAGCTTGATAGCAGTTAGAAATACTAGCTTAAACCAGACAAAGTAAGGGAATTCCTTAAAAACGCTTAAGCCTAACCAACGACCTTATATTGCTCTCTCTTTATAACTAGCAATATAAGCTTTATAATCTCTATAATGATCTTCTTAGGAGATTTAGGATACTGTTAAGGTGGTAACTAAGCTTTCCTATATATAGATACCGCTACCTAGGCCTAGAGTACTGTGCAAGCACTAGTATCAGTATATTAATTATCGTTAGCCCTATCCGTAAATATATTCTCTGCTTTATCTCTAGATACTGTATATAACTCCAAGGGTATTATCTATCTTAACAACCGTAATCAGAAAAAAAGAATTTTGTAGTATAGAGTTCTAGAAGATAAAGAAATACATTAATAAAGTCTGAGCTAATTTTACTAAAGATACTTAGACGGCTACGTTGACTATAGTAATAATAAAAGTAGCTTTTTAGTTAGAGTTAGGGGACTTATAGCTTATACTATAGGATTCTTATAAGATCTAAATTAAATAGCTTTATTGCAATATATAGGTTAAAGGTTTCTACTCTATAGTCTTTGTTTATAAACTGATATAGGGGGCTATTGTATACAGTATATAGGTTAAGTTATTAGTGGATAAGCTAGGGAAGGTGAGGGGGATATAGGAATCTGGGCGCACTCTTCTTGCGGCGATGTAGCTTGCTATTCGTTGTCGGATTGTCGTTTCCACGAGAGTGACAACGCGAATGACGGCTCATCGCCAATAGGATAAATTGAGACGATTTTGGCTTGTCTAGCATCAATCGTGCCGCTGTTCTGGGCCGTCCGAACCAATGGAAAGCCCAAAGTTCAAAAGAGGCTTAGGCTCCAGTACGCACGTCCCGCGAGCTTGACAGACCTTATCCCCAGATTCGAGTTGTTTCCCAGCATCTTGGCTTCTGCGGGGTGAGTAGTTTCTCATTCCTTTGAAAGAACAAGAAAGTTTTACGCCGCGGGGTTGATCGTATTATGGTCCGAATAAAAGAAGGGCCGTGGTCGGCACTTAGGTTAGCCTGCGTAGTACATGCAACACAACGTCTCATCGCAACCTCCCTCGTACATACAATTGCAGACGCCAAGGGTACTTCAAAGCATAACGATGATATAGCGGAGGCGATTGAGATGGCTTCGGCAAAAGATAATATGAAATACGATCTTGTTGATCGTGAGGCTGCTGGGTACGCAAGCACCACCATTGTTGAGATTGATGAGGCAACAAATCAACGCCTTAAGCGGCTCATCGACAAGCGCGTTATGTTATTTATTGTCGTCACTTATCTTGTCTACACTCTAGACAAGGGAACGATGTCCTATGCTTCCATTATGGGTATTCAGGACGACACCCATCTTGTCGGCCAGCAGGCTAGTATTCGATGTTCTCAACACGGATTTAAACTCTACGGGCGGGGCTGACAAGGCATATAGTATTCATGGATTACTACAATCCTGTATATGATCATCCTCGTCGTTGAATTTCCAGTAAATTTCTGCCCCTCAACATTTGCACAGTATCCTGCTGACACTCCCACAGGGAAATTATATTATCCAAGGGGTCCCAATTGGGAAATGCCTAGGCGGCAACATTGTCTTATAGGGCGTAACACTTGCACCTCAAGCTGCAATGAGAAAGTTTGAGGGGTTGATCGCTCTTAGAGCCTTTCTTGGTGTGTTCGAAGCCGTCAGTCAACCAGCGTTTACATTGTTGTCGTCTATTTGGTATACACGAAAAGAGCAGGGCGTAGTTGTAACAGTTTAGTATTTGATCCCCTTGTCTCGGAGCCCTCTATCCCATATGCTGATTCTATGTCGCATATTTATGATGAACGGTCTAAACCAAATTTTAGGTTCTCTATTGACATTTTGCTTTTCATTCATTCCAATCACCTCTCCAGTGGGGTCATGGCAGGCGCTCTTCATTACATATGGAGTTTTAATCGTTATATGGGGTTGTTTTGTGGCATGGTGGATGCCAGATTCTCCTATGAGGGCTCACTGCTTTACCGAGGAAAACAAGCACCTCATGATTGAACGGGTACGCAAGAATCGAACTGGTTTGCAAAATTGTAAGTTTCGTAAAGACCAAGTCTTTGAGATAATAAAGGACCCGCAAGGCGAGTGGTGTTATCATTTTACAGCCTTTGTATGCTATTGATGGACGTTAATCACGGTATAGTTTACGCCATTATTCTTATTCAGAATTTGCTGACAATACCATCTGGGGGACTTGGTGCTTTCAACAACATCATTGTCAAATCGTTTGGATTCACAACGTGGCAAACACAGCTCCTCCAAATGGTGTCTGGTGCGGTCCAATTGATCTCCATTCACAGTGCAGTGTGACTTGATAAGCGGTTCAAGCAAACCATATTGGTAACGATAGCCTTTTTAGTCCCCACCATTGCAGGAGTCATTGTGCTCTTGACTGTCCCATTCACACATGACAAGAGGACCGGCCTCCTTCTTGCTTATTATATCATGATAGCTTGTTGGGGCTGTGCGGGTCTTGCTCTATCAATAGTCACCAGGAACGTTGCCGGCCAGACAAATAAATTGTCGTTATCGCTTGTAACTTTGTGTTCTGGGCAGTATGGAATTCTATTGGGCTACAGACATTTCGCTCTCGTGATGCACCTCATTATTTCCCCGCCTTGGCTACTGTTTTGGGCTGCTTCGTGCTTCTAGAAATTATTCTCTTTTCGCTCCAGATGTGGTACATCAGTCAGAATCGAAGTCGTGACAGAAAGGTGGACGAAGGAGAGATTGCTGCCGATGTTACTTTCACTTATTCTTTTGAAGATGTCACTGATAGGGTGAGGCATTCCATTCCATTCCTAGCTGAGTCCATTAATCTCGTCTGAATTTGAGTAACCCATGTATAGGAAAATCTCAACTTTCGCTACATTTACCAAGAAGGGGATGCCGCGGTCTAGCGGTTCGGGTTCCACCAAGTTGAAATCGCCTCCCATAGTACTTGAAAATAGTTTGAACTGGACATGTCAAGATTGAAAACGCTGATATTTCTTGCTTTCAATTTTCTCTTTTGGTTTTCGAGGTTGCTATGAATGCAGCAGACGTGGCCACCTTTGTTTTCTTTGGCGGCATATAAATCGAATAACAGATACCTTCCCCGGCACCTGTATCTATATCCAGGAATTATGGATTGTAGATAGCACTCTATCAAGGAAGACTCGCTCAGATCTGTCCAATCTGAGGGCACCCTGGCGACGTCAAAGAGAACTTATGAAAGAAAGTTTGATCCGTTAATAAATCCGAGCCACTTGGTTTTTTGTAGCAAAGTCCGGTTTCGAGGGGCTCGTGTAATATCTCAGAGAGCTTTAAAGGGGTCGTCTGGAGGCCAGATTCTAAGATCCTGGGCCACGGTGTATGCCCTCTTTGATTTCAATGCTAGCCTGTGCGCGCTGAGATTTCTACATAAATACCCATACCCATAATCTTCCATAAGCTGAAGTTCAAGCTGCTACATATATTTCCAAAATCAAAATGACAAAAAGAAAGAATTCCGAGCCAGAGAATAAAAATGACTCAAAGACACATTATGCCAGGCCATATTCACTTTCGGTCCATAATGGACCGCCGATTGGAGAGTTCAGGAACGCTCCCAAGGGCTGGATTTCAGACGATCGCGATATACATGAGGAGTAGGTGGCTAGAATAACTGATAGTTCACTTGGAAGGTGATCAACTAATGTAGAGGATCATAGTGACGTTACCGCAAATATACAAAGATGCAAGGAACGAATTGAGGATGGAATCATGCCACAATGGTGGGAAAGAAGACTTCAAAAGTACGAGGCTTATCAGGCCGAGTTTGATCGAGAGATTGGAACACTACCCCTTGATCTGGACTCGGCGGTGGCTATTCGCTTGAGGGATCTCAAAAATGTGCGGGAAGATCTTAAAAATAACGGGGATAAGCGCAACCTTCTATCGACGGTAAACGCCCTCATAGAAGCCTACATGTCCAAGGGGTTGAATTGGAATGACGGACTGGTGACATACTGGTCAAAGCGCAAGAAGGTTTGTGATGGCCCGAAGGAATTCACATGGAAAGACTTCGATCTCTACAGCGAAATGCATCAAGGACACCAGAGTTTCTGGGTTGGTTGAAGGTGTAGGTAATTTCCAGTCTATCATCAACTTGGTAAATGTGTTTTAATTATCAGACTAGCTTAACGGCCCTGGTCCCATGAATGTTCTTCCAGTTTTCGCCACAGATAAAAAAGCTTTCACAATTCCTCCAAGGACTGCACAATTTATGCATGAGGTAAATATATATACTTCCCTTTCAGCTCTTCTCAGGGGCGCTCTTTCAATCTATTCCTTTGACCAAACCAATGCTTATGGATTACATTTCGCAGATCGACTTCAATCTTCGAATTCCGTCAGTTCCAGCGATGGATGAAGGTGGTGAGAACAGCGATAGAAGTGAAAGCGACAACACCAGTGACAAATGCTATGACAAAAGTGCGGAGCTTAGTTTCATAGATGATACTGGCTCTGCCATAATGGTATTATATGCGGATGATCTAGAAATGCTCGAGAACAAGGCAACGCAGCTGGCGAAGATAATGGGAGCAGCGCGATTGAACGGGGCATTTGGAGGTTCCAATGTGATAGTTTATAGAATTGAAGTCAATATGCGAGATCACAACGGTAATGACATGGTTGACTGGACCTCAATTCAGGTGGCTGTTGTGAACCACGATCGCCCAGTTGGGTGCGCGCGTCTTAGTGGGCCTTGGATGAGACATCGATTTTTTGTTGGAACTTCACCAAATAAAAAAGGAATTTTATGCATCGCAAGAACAAAACTCTCTTCATGCGAAAAATAGAAGCAATTGCTCAGGAAAAGGTCGACCCCATCCCTGCCGATCTTAATCTTCCAGCTAACCCCCCAGGACGTCTGTTTGGAAGTGCCCGAGGCCCTCCCATGCCTGGCACTGCCCCATCTCCCCGTGGTGGAGATAGTAATGATGATATTGCCGTGGTACATTATACCGCAAAACCATATTCAGACAATTCTAGCTCCGATGCCCCTGGAGCGAGCCCATCTGCCACTGGGGGCAGTGGGACTTAGGACATCGTGTCAAAATCCGAATTACATCATAGTTAATATGATTTCACTTTCTTCCTGGGCGGTCGAACTCTTACTCAGGTTACAATACAGATCGAACTAGTAAATTCTGCGCATATTCTGTGCCTTGACAAGCCCAATGCGGGTGACCTTGATGTCCAAGCATTTAACAGCCGATTAGTGTCAGGTGACCGAGGAAGCTAGTACTAGACCATTCAAACTTCATGCGTCTAGCCACGGATTCAATTTAGTACTAGTAAATACCGGTCAGAATACATACTGGTAATGCTTCTAGGTAAGTCTCTAGAAGGAAAATACACGACCTATGAGGCCGGATATAATTACAACCTGTGTAAAAGTAGATCGTAATCGAAATATGCCGGTCTTTAATAGGTGGTTGAAAAATAACCTGATAATTTCCAAGCATAAATGGCAATATACAGCGCTCCTATATGTATATTGCTAGTAAACCTCGGGCTTACAAATGGATTTCCTATCTTAAACTTGAAAGCCATGACTAGTCGATAGGGTCGACTAACTCCGATCTAACTTCTCTCGATTTTTGAACTACAACTTGGATTTACATCGGACATTGACAGTAACAGCATGAATGATATCAAAATACTAGATATTGCCAGTATCCGAAATATCAACTTTGAACGAAAGCAGCCTCCTGCCAGATATTAAGCCGACTGTTGGTGAGTGTTTCCTCAGGCACACGTAGCCTCAGGCAATTAGTTGCATGTCTCCGAGATGGACTGTTTGCTCTCTTGTTTCCATTCACCACTTGAATTCTTCGGTCACTCCCTAGTTATAGCTCCAACGGCACGTTCTTGAGGTTAGGCGCTACCTTCAACCTGGAATTGGCCAACCCGAGTAGAGTAGATTGGTGCATTATTATGAGGTGTAATCTTATGTAAAATTATATCATTTCACTATCTAGTTCGACCATGAAAGGAGGTTCATCTCTACTAGAAGCAATTTCTTTCATTCAGGAAGTCACATCATCCCCTCTCCCCCCTTTAATACTCATTGGGCCCTGAAATACCAGCTTATGAGACCAGGCGTGGAGCGCTGTGCGAAGACAGGAAGCTTCAGCAAACCCTATGGCCTATCCTCTAAACACATCAAAACCAAAAGCTGCGACGCCCTCTCTAACGTAACGGTCAACGTTTTCGGTGACGGATGGAGATTCAATTGGTTCCGGCTAGATTGAGAACTTTTCTTTGGAAATGACAACATCCTCTACCGCTTGCCTATCAATTGCTTTTGGTCGTACACAAGCGGTCGGCACGTGGAGACCCATATTCTGGACGGAGTAGCAGTTGAAGATGGACGGGGAGTGGGTCACCTAGCATGCGAGCCGTCTTATCTGAGTTTACCCTAGAAAAGCTAGAGCCAAACAAGCTTTCAAGTGGGCCTGGTTCTCGGGGCTCGGCAATCAATGTGGCATGATTCTCTTAACTTATGTACGTACTGGAAAATCACATATCGTTTCCGAAAATCTGGCCCCAGAAACGTATAGATGTCATCTCATAACTAGCTCGCGCCAAGCAGCCTTGCCCCAGTATTGTCCAAATAGTCTTCGATGGAAGGCTGGAGGATACCTAACGGATGAAACAGCTGTCGAATCAATTTCACTATTCAAGTTTTAAGTTTGATTCTATATAGAGGGTACCTGGCCGCGTATCTCCCAGCTTCTCGATATTTAAGAGGAATTTATCAATTATACTTCACACGGTATCCACAACTGGGACAGCTTCGATAATCGATTCCATGTTGGGGCTCACGTTCCAAATCCCGATGATTTTTAGCCCAGCATTGAGCAAAAGCTCTCTCCACTGTTGCTCAGATCGTTCAACTCCCGCACCAATACTCATCATCTGAATGTCCATCGCGGCCTGCATGCGAGGGACGTTTGTGTCTGGCAGAACAAAATCAATGATGATGACGCGGGAGTATCCTGGCTTCATTGCGGAAACAGTATTCATGAGAATCTTTTGGCACATCCGGTCCGGCCAATCATGGAATATGGCTCGGAAGCAATAGGCACAGGCACCTGTCCTTATTAGTAGGATTCTTCTTTTTCATTGTAGGCTCTCCAGGACTGGCGTTTGGCTTACCTTTGATAGGTTGGGGGTCAAGGAAGCTGTATGAGATTTTCTCTATTCCTTCTCTTTCCACGCTGGAGATAATCTTAGGAAGATCTTGCAAGATCAGGCGCCCAGGAGGCTTGGGATATTGTGCATGAAATCTCGCCAAGTCATGGCCTTGATTTCCCCCCAATGTCAACAAGGAAAACAGCATCGGGGCTAACCACTGCTCCTGCCATGAGTTGCTCGATTGGATATATGCAGAACCAATTGGGCCTTCCTTCACGTCGACTTGACATGTAAGAGTTGAAAAGATCTTGATGTAATCTGTTCTCAGCGAGCCACTCAAATTGACTTTTCCCCACAGCCCATTTCATTGGCGAGGTAGAATATTCTTGGGGGTTCCTGTAACCGTGACGTTGAAAGTATTCAGGAAGCTTGGAGAGGGTCGGAACGGTCAAGTCAAAGCTAGAGTTGAATATTAACCTCCAAATCGACAATATTAGGGGTGGGGGTAGTTACTCACATGCAACGTACACCGTCACGTCCTATTGGATGTATCATACTAGAGGACTTGTCCGTGGCAATATACTTCTCCGGCTCCAAAGTCGCGCATAGCCCGAGTGCGGTCATCATCCTCATAAGGCGAACTATGGTTCACCCTTCATGTTAGTGTCGACCTCAAGGGCGGTATCTTGGTATGTCTAGTTATCTTTGATAAATCTCACCAATTAATCCTCGATCCCCTCCAGTGTCTCTGGCCAGATCGGTCGCCGAGACGCCGCTTTTTGTTTCGGTGTTGACCAGCAATGGAAAGATTCCAAGGTCTACGACAGTACGCAAAGCAGCATTTTCCGGTAGCTTCAGCAGGATCAATGTCTTTTCTTTAATACAAAGGAGAAATGGTGAGGGTATACCTGATATATGAGACGCAGAATCGTCTCTGTAGGTGTTTCAACAGCTAGTTTGAGTTCATCCACAAGCTGGAGGAGACGGGAATGACCATGCCCAGAGCCAACCGAAGGATCCAACACTTGGTTTTTGATCTCAGAAATCAATTTCAAAGTGTGAACTGTAGACATTCTGCACTTGGGATTCAAACAGATGAATTTCGAATCTTATTCTACCTAGAGGTTTGAGAAAATGAACAAGTAGGATCCAAGCATCAATTCGAGCCTTTTATAGCCATTACTTAGCCCCCTACGCACTGGTACTCATAATTCCGCGGCCATGTGTGCATTCTGGCGGGATTTACCTGTCCGATCTCGCTCACGCGAGACAGGAGATGCCAGTGCCGAGCTGGTCCCGTTTCCATCCATGCACGAGAGTGGCCCGTACGCCGATCTTTGCCATTGTGGAACCCAGAGCGGGAAAACAAGACGCAACTAGGCTTTATCCGTCAGTCTTTGATGGCTGTGATCGCCGTCCTAATCTTTCTTAAGCAATTTGAAGTTAATGACGGGAAATTCAATGTTCTGCCGAAGTGTATCAGCTGGTCTGACGTACTTGGCGACTGATCAATTCTTCGCCAATGGCGTGAAACCGCTTGTCCATATTTTGCTCAAAGACAAAGGAGAGGCAAGGTGGTATAGAAATCAATAGAAAAATAGACCACAAAACACAGTTATTCGGTCTCCGGGTTAAATGATAGGGTGCGAGCGTCGGTCCAACCGATTTTGCTCAGTTCCTGTCGTGAACCGTGCACGCAAAGCGCCTTAGCCGAATTCAAGCCGATCCAAACTTGGTGCATTCGACTTTCCCTTGTTCTAGCCTCAATATATCTCGTCATTCTTAGCCGCCCATTTTGGTTCTTCCATAATTTCCCGCTATCACCCAAGACTGAGCTTATAGAAGATCACCCCGAAGTTACTCCGAGTAGACTTGATAAACAAATGATTTCAGGGGCTTACACTCCCCTCTAGTTCATTAATTTAACAGGATAATGAAACAAATTCGAGCTTTGCGGGCGATGCAGAACATCAAGTCAATAGGCTCAGCGTTGAAACTCGCGGAAGGGATATAATCCCAACACTTCCCAAACCGGCTCCATAATGGCTGATTTCAAGGAACCAATTATTAGCAAGCTTGGCACCTTGGAATATTGGTCCATGCCTCTCTCCCTTTCCGAGCGGCGGTAATATTCTCGTGCTTTTGTTTCAAATCATTTCACAGAACAAGGCTTGGAAAACATCCTGTACCTTAACGGCTTCTCATACTTCTTTTGACATCCAGATATTTCGGTTGGGTAGGCGTGAGATTTGTTTCACTTGGGCTACAAATAAAACTGACTTTAGAATGCAGTTTTGTGTTCAATTTTTATGGTCGCTAGTTTCTATAAGAGATGTACTAGTCACCATTTACCAAGTCAATTCGTGACAAGCAGCATACTATCTTTTAAGGGCTATCCGGTTATTTAATGGCTTTCCGCTACGGACTTATTCGCCAAGGCCTTGGAACAGCAGAGGAGCCGTAACTGATTCATCAGTCTATGTATGCAGTGGTATGAAATCATATTACTTCCCCCTGGCATCAATATTATTGACGACTGACTATTCAAGTTTGCCCTGCTGAATGATTGGTGCTCACGAAGGGGATTTTCAATAAAATATCAGATTTCAATGATTGGTCCAGTGTGAGCTGGTTTAATGAAACATCTAACTCTGAAAAATTGAGGGTTTGGTATTAAACTGTCATTCATAGCCGTTATTTGTACTTTCTAATTCACAGCTACCTTTCCTCATATATTGGCTCAACTGGTCCAGAACAAATAGGAAAATCCCCTGGTCGGAGGGTAGTTAGTATCATCTCCACTATTGCAAAACACGTGTTTCATGCAGCAGATGAATGCTCTTGCCAGAACCGGCCATATAGGAAATCATTCTGCTTAAATCGCAGGTTTGTTTTATTAAGTTTTTATTGCTATATATGGCTATGAAAATCAAAGGGGCCTAACTACACATTCTCATGGCCCCTTTGTTCCGCACCATTTATTATTGGGGCGAACTCCCGAGGTCGAAGATCCAGAATTCCTCATGTCGTAAATGCGAACCGGGCGAATATATACCAGATAATGCTAGTCCGACTCCCACGCCGTGGCGTGATTGCCAGTGCCCAGGTCGCCGCGTTGTCCCATCCCTTCCGCCATAGCCACCTAGATATTAGACAGCTTCGATCTCTTTTCTCTTTTCCCCTTTCTCCCATCCACCATTCACTATCGTCTCCCTCCTTTGCCCAGCCGTTGGCAAATAACAATTTCATATCGCCGTCATTTACTTTTTAAATTTCAAATTTCAATTTCAATTTCAGTTCCAACATCGCGGGCTCCCAATATGGCTTAGCGGGGCCCTGAAGGCCGTGAGGCTCCGCCAATCATGCATCGCTATTCGAATTTTGCCACGAGGCGCGCCAGAACACGCGAAAGGTCAAGACAACCCCGTGAAGAGCGATTCTTTCGTCGGACGTATCTATCAAGGTCGAAGAAGACGTTCTTTTCCCTCTTCTGAATCCCACCACTTTGTCATGTTTTCTCTTCGACGTCAAGCGGTCACGGTCATCGTCCCGCAATCTCCTCCATCGGCGGAAAGCGACCGTCTCCTCCTCCGTCCCATCGAAGAATCCGACTTGCCTGCCATCTTTGCGATTCGTTCGAGACCTGAAGTTGCTCGATTTAAGTGCGTATCTGCTGTGACTGGAAATCGAGAGTAGTTTCTCTTTGTGACTGCTACTGGTAGAAATTTTATCTATGATCTGCTAACAATAGACAGTCATCCAAAAACACCATTTCAATCTATTGACGATGCACGAGAATGGCTGTCGTCCAAGACCTTCATGACGGGCCCTTCTGAGGTTATTGGATGTTCTTTCACTATGGCGATCGTTGACAAGTCGATTGAAACCAACAAGGAACCAGTCATTGGATATGTGGGCATCAATTCGCTAGACCCCTGTCCGCAGATTGGCTACTCGGTATTACCTGAGCACTGGGGGAAGGGGTTTGCGACAGAGGCCTTACAGATGTTACTGACGATGTGGTGGGAACTTCCGCGACGGGACATCTCGAGTCTCTTCACACACGATGAAGAGGCAGAGAAAGTTTATGCTATATGCGAAAAGCAGAATCATGGTAGCTGCCAGGTTTTGAGAAAATGCGAGTTCGAAGTGGTTGATGAATTCCGCTATGAGGCGGACGAGCTATATCTTTGGTCTTCGAGCATGCCAAAATCCAGAGCCTAGCCAAAATCTCATTTCAAGGATGTCATGTCTCCAGGGCTGGAGCCTTGAACTTGCGAGTTGAAGGTTTTAGAGTAATACTAGGTTATGCTTTTGCTAATTAGTTAAAATCTTGATAGAGGGGCCATGGGTTGTATACTACTCGTATAGTCTGGAAATCAACCTTGGAAGGTGTTCTCTCTGTTTTACCCACAAAGTTAATGCAGGGCTCTACTTATTACGAGTTACTAGTACTAGTAGTGCGCAACTTGAAGCCATGCCAATATTTACCGCAAGGCCAACCTAAAGTCCACGTGTATCTGTACAAATTTCTAATTCTAGAATGCTTTGAAATTTTCAAGGTATCCACAAAGTGTGTATAAAACATAATTTTACAACTTGTGAGTAACTCGAGCTTGTCGTACAGTCCTAAACGCAAATTCATTACTTCGAAGCATCTTAAATTATTAGTATTTCTTCATCGGCGCTCTTGGTATGGAGTATGTATGTCACTTATCCCCACAGGTGATGCAATCCAACATTCCTGTCATTGAAATTCAATGCTCCACATACATTCCCCTTGCCTATAGCAGTACTAGCAGTATGTAGTACTACACATACTGTCCTCCGCACGACTATAGCCATTCCCCGGAGTTCGAGTTCTCCACCCGAACCTTGAGGGGAGACTTTTATCCGTAAACGGCTATGATCGGCATCGCCACCAATCTGCCGGGCTGCAAGATTATCCCCCAAACAAGGACGCGCTCGCCGGCATTTCTGCCCTGACAGGAATAATGTGTCCGCTCGAGATCTAGAAATTTGCAATCTCGTCCATTTCACAGTGGGTCTGGTTCACCACATACCCGCATCCCGAGGTTGAGAGGTGCGTGCAAATGGTGCAATATTGAGTAAAAGTCCAGCAATGAATGGCCGCTCTTAGCTCCGAGCCATCGAGGGGCAGGGCGGGGCCCCATACCCCCAACTATCCGCCCTGATTTAGTGTCTGGGGTGAATTATGAAATAATGTGGAAACCCCGACAGCGCGATATCGATAGATAATGTCGGAAATAATGGGTGTTGGGTTTAATCGACCAACACTTCCGTCTTGTGCGGAGTATGCATGCAAATAGCATCTGCTAGCATGGTGTGAAATGACCGCTATATGGTACCAAGTCCTGCTAGTTAGTTATCTGGGATCTCTCCAAAGTTGAGATTCGGCCGCCCACATGCGTGTACATGTCTCATATCCACTTGCGACCGAGGATCCGAGGCTACTGAGCTTACAGAAAATAAAGTGGTCAAAACTAGCTGTCCAAAATTTGTCCTGGTGCATGATCAATGCAGATGTACCTTGGGGCTGAGACAGACCTATAGTTGATCAGTGCCGCGCGATCGTCGATCTAAGCCCCGCGACACACGCTTGTCCGTGTTTCCCCAAGTTTCTTTCCCAGACCCGTTGGGACCGAGGCGTGGGGATCGTGTGAGGGGTTTCATGTGGGCGACGATCAGGAGAGACGATGTCATATAACATCTCTCCATGCCCGTTGGCTCTAGATTTACTTTGCTCGTTAGTTTACACTCAACATCCTGCCTTTAACTCCGTGTTATACATTCCTACCCCCACCCCTTACCATCAACGGATTCCTGCTTCGCTCACAATGGCTGCAGATGGCCCCAAGCCCGGCTTCCTTGGTAATCTCAACGACAGCCAGGAAGCCAAGCTCCAGAAGTTGTGGTCTGTACTGCTAAAGGCTGCCGAACTTCCCAACCCCGATGAACTCAATGGGAACGGCAACGCCGCGGAAAATGCCACACCGGCCAGTCCAGTCCAGCCACAACGCCGACAGTCCCTCCTTAGTCGGACTCAAAGCAATGTTTCCGACAAGCCCAGCGTTAGCGCTACCTCCCCATATCAACAGAAAATGCTGGCATACTTGCGTGAGCTCGGCATCGGCCCCCAGGAAACAAAAATGGTTCAAAAGTCTCTGTTGGAGATTACCCCAACTGAGCTTCGCGAGGGTATCCTTGAGCTTTTGAAACATGACCACCCCGATGGTATGATGCTTCGCTTTCTTCGGGCCCGCAAGTGGGATATTCCCAAGGCCTTCGCTATGATGATGGAAGCGATTGTGTGGCGCGTGAAAGAAATGCATGTCGAAGACGACGTGATGGCCAAGGGTGAACTTCATGCTCTCAAACAGTCAAAGGACAATGCGAACGCCAAGGAGAAGAAAGAGGGTCACGATTTACTCGCTCAGATGCGTATGGGCAAGAGCTATGTCCACGGCACAGACAAGCTCGGTCGGCCAATCGTTGTGGTACGGGTCCGCCTACATAAACCCGGCGCTCAGAGCGAGGAGACCCTTGAAAGATACATTGTCCATGTGATTGAGTCTGTCCGCTTGGCCATGGCCTCCCCCGTAGAGACTGCAGTACGTCTCATGAAGCTAGTACAACACATCCACCGGTGCTGAACGTTAACACCCTTCCTAGGCAGTTGTTTTTGACATGACCGGTTTTGGACTTTCCAACATGGTGAGAAACATCCATAGCAGCCTTAGTGATTTCTTGCTTTTTTTTTCTTAACTGCTAATATTTGACTTCCAAGGAATATCCCCCTGTCAAATTCATCCTAAAATGCTTTGAAGCCAATTATCCAGAATCACTTGGCATATTGTTGATCCACAACGCGCCCTGGGTCTTTTCTGGTTTGTTACGCCCCCGTTCCATCTTAAATGATCTTTCAGTGTGATATTTGGCTGACTCAATTCTTTCTTTGTGACTTCCAGGTGTCTGGAGGCTCATTCGGGGCTGGATGGATCCGGATATTGCCGCCAAGGTTCAATTCACTAACTCTGTGAGCGATATGGAAAAGTTCATCTCTCGGGATCAAATCGTCAAAGAGCTGGGAGGCTCTGAACAGTGGGAATACAAGTACATCGAGCCTGAAGAGAATGAGAATGCGACCATGCAAGATACAACAACGCGTGATGCCTTGATCCGGGAACGTCAGCAAATTGGCGAAGAATTTATGGCCTTCACCTCTGAATGGATCGAGGCAGCCAACTCGCAGGACAAAGCCAAAACTCAATCGGCCGCTAGTCAACGCACCTACCTCGCTGAGCGTTTGCGGGTCAACTACTGGAAGCTTGATCCATATGTCCGAGCTCGCCTTTGCCTTGATCGTATGAGGGTGATTCAGAAGGATGGAAAGGTCAATTTTTACCCCAAGGAAGATGACATCGAGGAGACCAAAGAGTCCCCGAAGGTCTCAGAATTTCACCATGTGGAAAGCATTAACGGGACTGCCACTCAAACTCCTGTTTCATAAATATTTGCCACTTTGGATATTCCCCTTTACGCGTTAAGAGTATTTTTAAATTAATGAATCATGATTGTTCGAACAGTCTCAAAGCAACTACCATCCAGGAAAGAGTACACCTCAAATAATTGATTTCGAAAGGCTAGAGAAACTAGTATCACTTTTAGATTGGGGGGTTATCCGGCATTAACCGTAAAATATTCTTCGTTCTCATGGGCATCTAACTTGTAGTAATAGAAGTACGATTCACGGAATTGAGACCCTCATGGCCCACTAACCTCCTGTTCATTTCACTAATCCAAGCCACAGAACTTTAGTTATTTATCAGAGTGTAGTATATGTATTCTGTGCTCTAACTACCGCTAGTAGGTTTTATTGTATGTTGGATGAGTCAGCCACGATAAACTCCGAACTCCGAGCCCCGCATACTTTGAGCGGTCACTCTTTCTTTCCACTTGTCTACCGTACGTTCAAAGTGGAAATTATAATGGCAACTACTCGTCGAAATGGCCAGCTCTCCTCGTGTGAGCCATGTCGGAAATCTAAACTTAGATGCGATCATACGTTGCCGATTTGTGGCCGCTGCACGCGCCGGGATGTGCGGGGAGATTGCATCTACCATCCGGCACCTTTGACCCGTCTTGACCTGCGACCGAACAGAAGACGAGCCCGAAAGGAACAAACAAATCGAAATCAGCATACGATATTTCAATCTGAAAATCGAAGTTGGGACCAAAAACAACACTCGGTTTCATTCCCGGATTTCTTGGGGACACGAGTTATTCCAATACTTTGGCCGATGCAGTCAACGGGTTTCTCCCGAGAGGACATCTAACAAATCAAGAGGAAGCTGTTCCTATGGACTCGAAGAGAGTCTATCTGGGTGCCCAGGTTCTCAATCTATTGGGTAATCTCCCCTTCTATCGAGATGTTGTCAGCGCGCGATTCAAACTATGGGAAGGATGGTGCCTGGGCAGGCCACTGACTATGATGATCTTCGATATTATGGAGGAGATGTGGGGTCTATCACAAAGCGACACCGTCGATCAGAACATTCATGCTTTGAAGCTATCAAAAGAAATGTTCCAAACCCATGCGCGTCCATTCAAAACCCCGGCAAATATGCCCTGGTCTGATTTTAAGCATGCCCTTTCCGGAAGGTGGGAAACCGTTGGATTGATGTTTTGCATCACTGGCTTGTCAACTGAGTGGCTATCAGAAGATGATCCGATATTTCAACGGCACGGGTCTACCGATCCTCGGAGTCTGGCAACAACGGCCAGTGCCGTAAGTGATATTTGCCTTCAATTTTGCGACGGCGCAGGCATCATCAACGATATTGTATGCTGGCTTCTTATGCATCAAACGACACTATTGGCTACCGTATATGGAGATAGCGGTAAGAACTTACATTTACGGTCGTCACCTCGGAACTAGACTAATAGTACGTTTCTTTGCAGACTCTCGACCCTGGAGAAAGCTTGGCGAGCTTACGACTACTGTCTTTGCATTGGGACTTCACCAAGATTCCAGCTACCAACTGCCTCTATATTTGGCCGAACTTCGAAAGCGTATAATGGTAGCTACCTTTACGATTGACAAGATCTTAGCTACCTTTTTGGGTAGACCGCCTTTAGTCAGTTGGCGGTACTGTGACATTCAATTTCCCCTTGACCTAAGCTTTGAGGAAATGCTTCTAGATCCTTCTTTAGTACAGGAAAAGATTCTCTGTTTGGAGGAAAATGGAGGCTGGAATGATGAGGGAACTATCAGAAAGGGCGCATGGGCTAGGATCAGCTTATTCAAAAGCATCCTCCGTGAGAAAATCTTGGAGCTTTCTTTAAGCTACCGAGTCGAGGATATACGCAGAAAAGTCGAGTGAGTGCTCTTTTCCCTCTCCCTTTCCCTCCCGTCTGACTGCCTCTAAACACGATGGTTCAGTCTCGGGCTAATATCAAACTAGAGATCTTCTGGAAGAGAACCGAAAGCTTCGCATGTCTCTTCCACGCTTTCTTCAATGGAGCTCGGAAGGGGATATTGATGTTACGGTTCCTATCGTGGAAGAAAGAGTAGTATTTTCTCTTCACCTTGATTTTCTCTATAACGACTTTTTGCTTTACCGCACTATACAAAAGTGGACACATGCTCAGCCAAGTGCTATCATAGAGACTTCTCGAGAAATGTTGAATGCTCTTCTTTCTATGGTGGCGAGGTCATCTCGATTAGGGCATCCAGTCTTTGATATGGGATTCAATGTAAGATCCGACCCCCTGGCCCTTACTGTGTTCAAGCAGCTCACTTTTCCAAAGCTCTGCTATTTTGGCTTACCTGCTGCCGGCATATTATCTGCAGAACTTCTTCGAAGGTCTCGCTCGATTGTCTCGGATGACAGTATTCTTTTTCCACGCTCGGGGATTATTCAAACCTTGAGTATATTCTCGTCCCATTTGGACACGTTCATACAATGCTATGAAGGGAATTATCGGATCTCACAGGCAGGCCAAAGGGTGATTCGTCATATTTTGGATCAAGTTCTCTCCTACAATGGTCCTCCTACTGCTAGTATCATCAAACCCTCTGAAGTATTAGAACAAGAGTTTCCAGTCGGTGATCTTCTGAACGAGGTTGATGCCAATGATCGAGATTTGTTTCTGGATTGGATGGACGGAACAGTCGAACATAAGTCAGACTCGTGGTTGAGATGGGTCAATTTTAATTGAGTCAATCAGCTTCTCTAGGCTCGATACTCACGGCCCATAACTGACAGTCGCAATTTATCGGCTTAGACTCATCTGTCTCACATACTTTCCTATTATCCTTTTTGGACTGATCAATTCGAATTGTTCATGTATTCCTAAATTGCGATCCCATATCTAAGATGAGTTAGGTCACCGCGCATGTCAAAGTGCTGTTGGACCGTATGAATTATCTATGCAGGCCATTTTTAAAATAAATGGTCAATCAGGTCCACTGGTTGTATCTTTTGTCTTCAACGTACCAAGCCATGTTATGGATTACGGGTGTGTTGAAGAACCGTCACTTGCTGCCACTGTCAGTCCTGCGGGACCGTGCTCGGGTCTCTTCTGCCGTGCTCGTGTTCATTCTTATCTAGTCTTTTCTTTTCCATCTAGTTTTCAGAATTTTCGAATGTGACACGAATAAAACCATCAACGGCAGGACACCATCCACGAATTCCATCGAGCGACGACCCCGATCGGCCATTTTATAACTATTACGAATGAAACATTGCCGCATTGATTTTTTTTTTTAAAAAAAAAAGGACGCGATGAAATAAAGTTCCGCATCTCCCCAGATTATGAGAATACTCGACAACCACGGCCCCTCAATGTTTAGAATCTATCAACCTTCGGAAAGCTTCCCGTCTTAGGTAGATACATAGTAAATATAAGCTGTCAATCGAAGCAGTAGATAGATTGGACTTTCAACGTGCTTCAATAGTAAGTACCTACTAGTTAAATTTGGACAGGAGTTCTTCTAGGGTTCAAAGAATATTACCAAGTCTTAATCTCTTGCTTTGCATCCATAGAGCCGCGGGAGATGTTCTCCGGGATGCCATCGTGCGGAACAGTCCCGTTATTTATCCCCCGGCTTCCGATTGACTCATTAGAAGCAATCTGGTGGACCCACCACATTTCTCGGGTACGATTCCGGCCACTCCGAAACGTAGACTCTTCGCAGTTGCCAGCGTGAGCTCAATACAAAATCACAATATGAAACGATCCGAAGATTCGAATAGAACGAAGCGTCGGAAGATTGCTGTAGCTTGTGATGACTGTCGTACACGAAAAGTTCGTTGTGACGGAGTGCAACCCGGTATGTGGCGCCGCAACACCCGGAATGCAACCCGTGCTGATGTGCGCCAGTGTGTGGGCCATGCAGCAAAAGAGCAGATGAAGGCAAATGTGTCTATACAGGGGACTTAAGAGAAGAAACGTGCGACTCAAAGGTGTGTCTCTGTCTATCCCTTGTGTATATTGCTCTCCATTCCGCATTTCTAAGCGTGTTGCAGCTATATCATAAGCCTGGAGAATCGGATCAAAGAGCTTGAAAGCCCAAAGGCGTCGGGAAGAGCCTCATTGTCGGTGTTCACGCCAGTAAGCTCATTGCGACTATCGTTAATAGTTTCGTGCATCTCATAAACCAAATAGCACCATTCGCTATCATCGCTATCACCAACTGGAACCCCCCAGGGCCATCCCGAAACCCCAATCGACCATGTTCAAAAAACGGGGTTCCCCGATCAGCCCGAAGCCTTTGAAGATGGGGGTCATGATGGAGTTAATGCGATGATGGGCTCCTTAGAGGAAGGACGCGCTAACCAGGGATTTTTTGGAAGCTCTAGCGCTGCGGGATTCATGCGCCAGATAAAAATAGCAGTTGATAGAAGGGTCTCCTCGCCAGAACGACATCCTTCAAGTTCCAATAGAGCTCTCGGCTCTAGTCTTCTCTCCAACCGCAACGAAAAGCATCAATCCACTGTTGCGGCATATGTTTTACCGCCACGGAGAACAGCCGACTCTTTAATGGAGGTATATTGGGATTACGTTTTCCCTTTATATCCATTTCTTGACAGCGGGCTCATGAAGGGTGAATATACCAAAATATGGCGAGGGGATAGCTTGCAATACGATGAAAACATGGTAATGTGTACATTCAATGTAATATTCGCCCTTGCGAGTCAATTGGCCGACTTCGTTCCGCCGCGAGAGCGAGAGGCTGCGGCAGATGCTTTTTTCTCGCGTGCGAAGGGGCTTTTTCAGTTCAATCTGTGGGCTACAGGATCTGCGGGCCTTATTCAATGCCTTCTATTAATGGCACAATACTTACAAAGTACAGACTCGGCACATCAGTGCTGGATTGTCACTGGTTTGGCCATCAGGAACGCGCAAAGCCTGGGTCTTCATCTTCCGCAGACTATTGCACGGTTTTCTACCTTCCAAGAACAACAGCTAGCCAGGAAAATATGGCATGGATGTGTCTTGATGGACCGGTATGTTTGGATCCAATGGAAAGCGAGGATTTTAAATTTATTTTCTCATCTAGTGTTATGTCTATGACATTTGGTCGACCGGCGATGATCTCGAAGATCTCCAGTGGGGACGTTCCTCTCCCCGTCCTTGTTGACGATGAGTTCATCCCTGTCAACACCACTGCAGAGCCCACACAGCCCACACAGAAAATTTCTATTATGGCGTTCTATGCCAAAACGTTGGAACTATATGAAATCATGAATGAGGTGCTTCTTAGTCTTCACAAGCCAATCTCGGATGATGGCCCAGATGAAACTCATCAATTCTATTTCAATAGTACTAACTCTGATGGTGAACACACAATATTTGAACTTGATCACTCGCTCACCCGCTGGGCGCAAACTCTGCCCGCTCATTTGCGGGTTGGTTCGACAGCTGCAGTACATAATCCTGTTTTCTTTCGTCAAGGAATTGTCCTGAACGCGAGGTTTGTAAAGCAAAAACCATGAATTAAAAAAGTAGAACGTGTTCTGACCCTGAATGCTGCAGATTCTTGCACGTTCGCATCCTTTTATTCCGACCCATATTATCGAAATACTGTACTATGCGCGAGAGCCTGAGAAGGAATTCTACGATCGCGATCAGCGATTCCTTGCCCCACCGGGTTGCATTACAATGCTCAATTATCTGTGTCAAGGTAGCCCAAGAATCGATCGAAATGATCTACAACAACGTCCCAGGCGATGGCACAGGTGGTCCACTGCCGGCATGGTGGTATAATATACTTTGTGAGTTCTCCAAGTTGCCCACCTGGGCAGATTCCAGCAGGTGCCAGTGGTTGGTGTGATGCCGACGTTTGAATTGTGGACTCACATTTTCAGACATATATACCGCTGCAACGGTTCTTATTGCAGGCCGTTTATGTTCAACCATATCAGAAGAAATAACGGACTCTTCAATGACTCGTTCCTGGAATTGTGCGCTAGATATCCTGCGCAAATATCAAAGCTACAGCTTTTCCGCCAGGCGCTGCGTCGCTGCGCTTGAAATTCTCTACGAGCAGGTTGTCGCCGAAGGCCACCAACCTAATGAGCAATCAAATAGCCACGGTCTACTGAACGACATCTCATTTGGGGAAGGCATGAACACCGAAATGATGGAAGCTTTTGAATTTCCAGACTTTCAAGACATGTCTTGGCTCAATAGTGTCCCAAGCAATCTCTTCTAACTGTGATTTAGAACAGAGCTGGAGCAACGTGGCCCTTGGACATAATGAAGAAGGATCATTTCTTTGGAGAGTGCTTTTTCGTTCATTGTTTAACTCAAGCTAAATTCAATTGCTTCTTGTCTCTGTTGTAATGCCTCAGAGCTTTAATGCAGTTGTTGTGCCTCGGAAGGTCGCGTATTAGAATGGATCACTAATAGGACACTAGTTACACGTAAATTTTGGTGTGGTCGTAAGCATATAAAATAAATTGAACAAGAACCAGAAATAGCCCATGTGCTCCTTTTATAGCTTCCGATGTATATCTGTTCTGGTGGCCAAAGATTGCACCGCGATGATAGGTAACAACGCAGATGCGGAAATAATGGCTACCATCACGCCCGCAGCCCCTCCAAGTCCCACAGCGGTGAACATGTCTGGGAAATAAAAAGGACCAAGCTAAATAATTCTATGTTAGTATTTGATCTTGGGTTAACTGGTTTCCAAGCGGACTTACAAAGCCATAAATCTGACGGCAGATATTAACAAATATTCCAACCTCTGCGGCTCTTTCCTTTTTGCTTTCCACCGCAAATGTTGTCAGGATTGTAGTTTGCATCTGATTACCAAAACTGGCGATTGCTGCCCCCACACAAGGAGTAACATTCCAGGTTTTAGCGTGTTGCAATTCAAATCCCCAAGTCAGTAAGCCGGCAATTATCGTCGCAAACGCAATGTAAGATAACCAGAGACGATCAGCCGGGCATGAGTGACCTCTTTTTTGATGTAGGTGACGAAGGAACCAGTCAGACATCGGTCCACTGACCTGCTCACCAAGCACACATCCAATGATGATTGCAATAAATTGCAGACCAATTTGCTGTGCATCAAAGTTGAATTTCTCGCCAAATACTATGGGCATCTCGACAATCAACGCAATATTGCCATAACAGAAGGTAACTGCATGTGCACAGGCGGCAATCAAAACTCTTGGGTATTTGATCATTTCGAATGGGGCGACAAAGTCTCCCAGACTTAAAGAGCGGGAAGTGATCTTCCGCGGTATCATCTTGCCCCAAATCCCAACCCTCTCTCGCTCGTTGTCGGGGTTATAAATTGTCTCGTCGCCAATTGCCAAATACAGCAGAAATTGGCAGAAGTTTATTATGGCAAATATCCAGAAGATCCATTGTACTCCAATATGTTTGACAACAAAACCCATAAAAAAAGGACCTGCCGGCGTTCCAATTGTAGTCATGAGGGTCCACCACCCGAGCTTCTGGGCTCGCTTTTCGGGCTCACATAACTGTGTAATTACACCACTCCCGTTGCCGATCGGGGGCGAGATGAGGAATGCTGTTAGGACGCGAGTCGCCATCTGAGCACCGTATGATGTGCATCGAGCACCACCGATATTGCAAGCCATACTTCCTAGAACGGATAGCAGAATGACATTATATCGACCGTATACAGCGGTTAATGGATTCCAAATCAATGGGGAAAGGCCGAGAAGGAGGATCTACAATATAATGTGTTAGGCATTGAGTCAACAAAAGCTTTCCATTAGACCTATCGGCGTGGACGATACCTGGAACGATGTCAGATAACTGGCTGCTTGCACAGTGATGCCGTACTCTTCGGCAAATGCGTCATACGCTGGAATAATTCCAGCAGCCATGAATGTACCCATCATGGAATGGAAAGCGACCATAAGGATCTGCGCATCCTTTTTCCACCTGGGCCAGTTTTGTGGATCCTGCGATGACCGCGACAGCCACTCTTCGTCCCCGCATGAAGATAAATCATTAATTGGGGGGTTGGTAGATGCATTTTCGAGGTGAAACGAGTCCTCTGGCTGGCTAATCTTCATGTTCGAGTGGTGAGGAACTTGAAGTTACCCAAGGTTGGAAAATATAACTACCGTGTCGACAAAGAAAAGGTGCAGTGGGCTAAGACCGCAAGAAAACTCGAATAACTTGTGATTATGACAACCAGAAGGCCCTGGGCCGCATTTAAACCAAAGGTCCGAGTCATATGTGCGGTGGATTCATCTAACCCCCCCCCCCCATGGGGCAAGTTCAATGGGGTGTGTATGGGGTGTGGGACTCCGCGGATTGACACCGCACTGTTCATTCTTGCGGTTGATTGGGGCAAGGCCTTGTTGATGACCTGGTTTCCCGGCGGGTAAAGCTCGAGTCCACAATTTTAAATGCCGTGTCTTCTTTGCCATAAATGCCGTGTCCGTCAAGTCCCTGAAGATCTACTTCTTATCCCGAGGTTTACCTGCTCTAGATGCCAGTGAGCCGGAGCGTCACCCGGGCGCGGCTCGGAATATGATCCGACGCGACGGCGACAAGCGCCAGGAGATTCATAGAAACCAATTCGGAGCATGGAAATAGTTTTGAGGCATTTGCGTTCAATTTTTATAGCAGGTAATTCCCTCTTGTGAGTTTCATGCCTGCAGGAGCAGGAGCGTGTTGTGTGAATCTCTCCCGCCCCCATACTCTCAATTCCGATATTGACGTGTGCGTGTTATCCTGGGATCAAACCACTCCAAAAGACCGAGTTTCGCAGTTTGAAAACATCACATGTCGCAGTTATATTGATATCCATGCTTGGTCATTGATCGACCAAGGTTTCTCTTCGCAGATGTTGATCTTGGGCGAATATCTTGATGACGCGACATTTTGTTTCCCTTCTTGTTTGCTTTGTTTTCTCTCCTTTGCAGAAAGAAACCATGGCTGGGCGCTCTGATAAAGCATTCTGCCTTGACTCATGTCTTGATGCATTTTCGGAGTAATACGAATATTCCCAATGGTCATCAGAAAGAAGCAATTTCTAATCGGGACAGCGATGGCCGAGCAAAATACCCGGTTTCCCCACGACAAAAAGCCCCCGCACACTCGGGGGTATTCACCTCCGCATTTTAATCCGCAGAAGGTGAAGCCCATTGGTGGACTTATAGATTCTTCATTCCATGCCTCCGGTCGGTCCTTGGCGCTTCCATTTCTTCGAAGCGAGCGACGTTTTTCGGGCTATTGGAATCCGGCAAACCCCCAGGAACTTAGCAATAAATTAGAAGCCATAATGCCTTCGAATTTCTGGGACGATCGCTGGGAGCATCGAATACAACTCCGGTCACAATGTTAGCATTTCTTGCCTTCGGTGCCACATGGTTCACGCTTGCCTCTGCAACGCTCCATATTGTACAGAATGAGACATCAATCACGCTCGAGAACACTCGCCTAACGGCAGTTCTTGACAGAACTGCTGGCCAAATTGTGGATTTGACCCTCGATGGAAAGGACTTGCTGGGTCCAAAGTCGGGGTCCACGGGAGTCGGGCCGTATCTTGATTGCTACTGCATCCCCTCTGGGTTTTACACAGCCGGTGCAACAGCCCCTGTGACGAAGGCTGTGGAGGGAGTTGACTCAACGGGCACTAAATATGGAGGTCTGATCTTGACAGATACATACACACCCACTGGTCAGCAGTTCCAACAGTATTGGTTTCTTCGTGAAGGAGAAACGGGCTTGCATATGTTTAGTCGACTTTCCTATTATAACGAAAGCACGCCGTATCTTCGCAATCTGCAGGAGTTTCGAACGCTATTTCGCCCAAATACGAATCTATGGACACACCTCACGTCGAGCGACGTTCAAACTGCGCCGTTGCCCAGCAAAGATGCCATCGCCAACGAAATTGTAGTTCAAGATGCAACTTGGACATTCAACAATACGCCTTCTGATCCCTACTACACGCAGTTTTCGGATTACTTTACCAAATACACGTTCTCCAACCGTGCGTATTCCCGTCATACTATATTCTTCTTAACAATTCTAAACATTTCCCTCCTATAGATTGGAGAAACAACAGCGTTCACGGTCTTTACGCCGATGGTTCTACATCTAACGGAATCACATACGGAGCATGGCTAGTGATGAATACCAAGGTAGGTGCATTAGATTCATGTTGAACTATGGCATTGTAGCTGATAAATACTTGGTAGGATACATACTATGGGGTACAGTATTTGCTCTTCCGGGTTTTTCCAACGCACTGACAATATAAAACAGGGCCCCATTCACTCGGATTTAACTGTTGACGGAATTGTTTATAACTATCTCGTCTCCAACCATCACGGAGAGGGGACTCCAAATATCACCAATGGCTTTGATCGTACATTTGGTCCCCAATATTACCTCTTCAATGGAGGCAAAGGCTCTACCTCTCTTGAAAAGCTCCGGGCAGAGGCAGAGGCTTTGGCAACTCCGCAATGGAATGCTGCGTTTTATGATTCTATTGCAAAGCACGTTGTTGGATATGTTCCTTCCGGAAGAAGAGGCAGCTTGAAAGGGACGGTGACGCTTCCAAAATCTGCGGCTCGTCCTATTGCCATTTTGACGGCCAATGGATATTACTTTCAAGACAACAGTGCCGCACCAAGCGCATATCAATACTGGGCCGACGTCGCATCTGATGGAAGCTTTAATATAGACCGAATCAAGGAAGGAAGCTATCGATTGACCATTTATGCGGAGGGAATCTTCGGCGATTTTGTGAAAGAAAATATCACGGTACGTGCTGGAAGGAAGACCACAGTCCGAGACACTTGGAAGCAAGAGTCCGCAGGCAAAGAAGTTTGGCGATTGGGCATCCCCGATAAGTCATCGGGTGAATTCCGACACGGGCAGAAGAGAGACTCGACACATCCTCTCAGCCCGCCGGAATATCTGGTCTATTGGGGAGCGTACGACTGGACAACCGACTTTCCGCGAGGCGTCAATTATACTATTGGATCCAGCGACCCAGCGATGGACTTCAACACTGTGCACTGGTCTGTTTTTGGTCCCACTCCATCTAATCCACATGTCGAGTATGATTCGACTAATGACTGGACCATCAACTTCTCCATGAATAAGAACCAATTGCACCAAAAGAAAACGGCCACACTTACCGTTCAGTTGGCCGGTGCAAAGACGGCTGCAGGCAACACTGATGTCTACAACGCCAGTGAACCTTACGCCAATTTATCTCTCGAGAGCTTCATAAACGAAGGCAACGATCCTCTGGTCATGACAATTGGTTTCAACCAGTCAAGTAGCTGTATTGTCCGATCTGCTGTGAGTTGCTATCAAATAAGTTCTCGGATGACATTCCCATCATCATGGCTACATGAGGGTAAGAATGTCTTGCGACTTCATTTGCCTTATAACGCTACCGATACTGAGACTGCTATTCTTCCTGGTACTGTCTACGTACAGTATGATGCATTGAGGCTCGAGGTGGACTGAATTTCCGAATACCCCGCCTGAGCGCGTCATATTGCAGTCAGCATAAAATTGTCACAAACTCGAAACAATCCATCTCAAATATCTTCTAAGTTATAAAAAGCACTGTTACTCTCCATCATAAGCACATAGTCTTTGTGCAACAAAGATGTCTGTCGTTCATGCCTCGTAGGTAATCTTTGCATTATAAGATCAATGACCACCCGTCCAATTTTTCTCACGTCCATCTCTTCCTAGAAGTATGGTCCGAATCTCGGTTAGTAGCCCCCACGCTATCAAGATCAACTAGGGTCGGATCATCCTACGCTCAGACACTACGGAACAATTTAGTGACGATCACTCCACTTTCTGCATCGTTTGGCCCTCATGTCCCTGCATGCATCATTCGACCTGTGCGTCTCCGACTTCCCCGCTGTTAAATCTCGCGAGTATAGTATTTAATATGTCGATCAATGTCTAGTGACGTCTCCGGCGGGGGTTGGGGTGTGTTATAACCGACATATTTAGGCTGAATTTTCCCAGACGCACCTAGAAAACAGCTCGCTTTCGTAGTTTGATATTTTGGATAATAAAGCAATTACTGGGCAAACGGTACAGCAATGCGTTTATCCTTTCTGGCACTTGCTGCGCTTGGGGGCACCCCGGTCGTGGTGGCCGAGCATAATTACTATCAACCGACCTCGAAAGGTTTTCGAATGCAACATGGATTCGAGACAGTCCTTGTTCAACCGTTCGGTTACGACGGCTTTCGGATACGTGCGTGGCCATTTCGCCCCCCAACCGGCCAGGAAATCGGGTTTGTTTATGATCCTCCTCTTGAGGGACCTGAAAGTGAGGCACATGGAATGAGTTTCGATACCGCGTTCCTTGGCAACCGGTCCGAGGAGCTACGCAATGGAAACATGATCGTACGCACTTCTGGCTGGGGAGGTAATCCAGGTGGCTATCGCTTGGCCTTCTACCGTGTAGAGGTCAATGGGTCTGAAACATTGCTCACGAACGAATATGCACCGCTCAAATCAATCAATCCACGCTATTACTCTTGGAACGGACCGGGAGGTGAATTTGCGGCTGAGTTTTCTTTCAGCGCGACTCCTGATGAGCAGATCTATGGAACAGGCACACAACAAGATCACGTTGTCAATAAAAAGGGCATGGTAATCGACCTAGTCAACTTCAACACACATATTCCCACTCCGATGTTTATGAGTAACAAGGGCTACGGCTTTGTGTGGAACATGGCCTCGACGGGTCGCATGGAGTTCGGACAGCTACGGAATAAATTCACCACGGATTCTGCTACTGCGGTTGACTATTTCATTGTTGCCGCGGCATCGGGTGATTACGATACACTCCAACAACGCCTGTCGGCCCTAACTGGTCGTGCACCCAAACCACCAAGTTGGTCACTGGGCTATATACAATCCAAATTGCGGTATGAAAATCAGACTGAAGTGGTGCAACTAGCCGAGCAGTTCCATAAAAGACACATACCAGTCTCCTTGATCGTCATTGACTACCAGTCCTGGGCTCACCAAGGGGACTGGGGCCTTGATCCAAGGCTGTGGCCGCGGGTTGCTGAAATGGCGCAGAAGGTAAAGAAACTGACCAATGCAGAGATGATGGCATCTCTTTGGCCGAGCGTGGCAGATGATAGTCTCAACTATCTCGAAATGATGGCTCAAGGATTTCTCTCTGCCACTCGATCGGGTCCAGGGACAACCGATTCATGGAACGGATCATATATTCGCAATTACGACTCTACAAACCCAGGCACTCGGCAGTTTTTATGGAAAACTCTGAAACAGAACTACTTTGACAAAGGGATCAAGAACTTTTGGATTGATCAAGCTGATGGAGGGGCACTTGGTGAGGCATATCAAAATAACGGACAGAGCGATTACATTGAATCAATCCCTTTCCCGATGCCAAATGCTTTGTATGCTGCAGGAACTCAAAGCAGTATTGGGAAACTCTATCCCTGGGCCCATCAACAGGCTATCGAAGAAGGGTTCCGTAATGAATCCTCAACGGAGATGGGAAGCCCTTGCGACTATTTGTCTCTCAGTCGCTCCGGCTATATTGGATCCCAGAGATTCTGCAGTATGATTTGGTCTGGTGACACAACAGCAGTCTGGGAAACTCTCGGTGCCCAGATTGCCAGTGGTCTCTCTGCCGCTGCCACTGGCTGGGGCTGGTGGACTCTAGATGCCGGTGGTTTCCAGGCCGATCCCACCGTCTCATGGAGTGCCAATATTGACCGTCCGGAGTATCGTGAGCTTTATGTCCGATGGCTCCAATGGACTACTTTTCTACCTTTTATGCGGACCCACGGGTCTCGCGCTTGCGATGTACAGAGTGGCTATACGTGCGACAATGAGCCATGGTCCTACGGAGAAACGAACACACCCGTCATCGTGTCATACATTCATCTTCGCTACCAGCTAGCTGAATATATTCAGGCTCTCTTCTCTCAACTCCATCTCACCGGCCGCATGATCCTTCGGCCACTTTACATGGACTTTCAAACTTCGGATGCTCGAGTAGCCGAGTGGACGCGGCATAACCACAATGTGACCACACAGCAGTACATGTTTGGACCACGACTCCTTGTCACACCCGTCACGCTCCCCAATATGACTGAATGGTCTGTATATTTGCCTCGGACTGCTGGGAATGAGACAAGGCCCTGGACTTATTGGTGGACAAACGAAACCTATGCTGGTGGTCAGATGGTGACCATCCCTGCTCCAGTTGAGCATATTCCACTATTCCATCTGGGATCACGAACAGATATTTTGAGTGGAAAGGTTTTTGAATAATTATCCAAGGACTCACGACAGTTCCATTGCATCATTTTGCTAAAGTACAAACTAAGCAATATGAACCGATGATCTTTGTTATACATGCTGATTAGAACATATATATGTGTGATCAATGAATCTGTCTACTCCATTCAGAACAATACTATTTCTATCTTAGACTATCCTAGATTATCCTAGACTAGTAATGCCCGTTTTATACTATATTGACACCTCAGGCCGCAATCGTAGTCCCGTGATGTCACCAACCCGGCGGAGCTTTGGAAGTTACACAAAAGCGTCAACTGTGCAACCTCAACCTCATTTCTCACCCTCGGCCTTGAAGGGGTTTTTTTGACCCTCCTCATTATATATACCATTACTCTTTGTACAGAATTTGAATTCGAACTTGACTTGTGCACTCGAGATGGGCGGCGGAAACCAGCCACCCCGTGTTGGCTCCTTGGAGGCCCAGCAGACCTCGCTCTCCTCGCCCGACCCCAATATCCACCTGCATGCTGTCGTTGATCTGGGCAGGTAAATTTCAATCTTGCATGGAAAGATCCCTTCTCTGCTTTGCTCCCAGTTTCCCTCTGTGAAAAACTAACCTGGAACCTACAGTAATGGCATCCGATGCTCCATCTCCGATCTCACAGCACCGACCACTCGAGTCATCCCTACTGTTCATTTCCACCGCGTGAATATCTCGCTGTACGAGGCACAAGTCGACCCGGACACGGGCAATCGCATCCCCATACCTACATCCGTGATCGATCGTGTGGTCAGCGCCATTCTTCGCTTCCAGATAATCTGCGTGGAAATCGGGGTGCCCGCCACGAACATCCGACTAATCGCAACTGAGGCGACTCGAACTGCCATCAACTCCGCCCAATTCACAAGCGCCATTCGCGATGCCACAGGAGTTGATGTGGAGTTACTCCGGAAGGAGGAGGAAGGAATCGTGGGAGCATGGGGTATCGCAAGCAGTTTCTCTGATGTAGAGGGCCTCGCGTTAGATCTCGGGGGTGGAAGCATGCAAATGACATGGATCATTTCCCACGCTGGTGAGGTCCAGATCAGCCCCAAGGGATCAGTGAGCTTTCCTTATGGAGCTGCTGCTTTGACTCAGAAACTGGCCGATTTAAAACGCGGTAAGAGCAAAAGTGAGGCCAAAAAGGCCAAGGAACAGTTTCGTCAAGAGATGGCCGACAACTTCCGTACCGCATTCGAAGCTCTGCAAATCCCCGAGAGCCTGCGTCAAAAAGCCCGCGACCATGGTGGGTTCCCTCTCTATCTGTCGGGTGGTGGATTCCGCGGCTGGGGCTATCTCCTCTTATACCTCCATCAAACTCGGGGTCAAAGATATCCGATCTCGATCATCAATGGATATTCTGCCCAGAAAAAAGATTTTGAGGATACCGAGGCTTTGAAAGAGGTGGCTCGGACCGCACACGAGATCTTTCGTGTGTCTGATCGACGTCGCAAGCAAGTCCCATCGGTCGCATTCCTCGTGAAAACCCTGGCCGAGTCATTACCGTATGGAATCAAGGAGGCGCATTTCTGCCAAGGTGGTGTTCGCGAAGGAGTTTTATTCCGCAATATGCTCCCCGTCGTTCGTCAACAAGATCCGTTGGAGGTCGCTACTGCTCGCTATGCGCCCGCGTCGGCTCAGGCCATTGCTGCCCTGATCCTGGCCGCGCTGCCCCGGCCATCCGCGGGCCGATCAGTTCCATCATCAATCACAGTTCATCTAGTTCAGGCGTTTGTTAATTCCCTATATTTCCATGCCACGATGTCCAAGGAACTTTCCTCCAGTGCAGCTCTTTACAGTACCAGCACGGGGATCTTGGCATCTCACGCACGGAATCCCTCATGCGCATCGTGCCCTTTTGGCACTGGTCCTCCAGGAGCGGTACGGTGGAGAACTCCCACCACGCGATGTGGATTTCAAATCCCATCTCCAAGGCATCCTCACACCCGAGGAGGTCTGGTGGACCCGTTATCTTGGGAAGCTGGGGCTTGTTCTCACCCAGCTTTATCCGATTGGCACCATTGACACCTTCAAGCCGCGTATTATTCCATCCGCCCGCTGGGCGACCGGTCTAGGCAAAAAAGGCAAAAAAGATGGGTTGAAACTAACGATTGCCATTCAAAAGGTCGAGTACGACCCCACCCATCTCCGCGAAGAACTTGAACACGATGTCCAGAAGATCGAGAAGGTTGGCAAGCGCAAGAATTGGATTGGAGGTCGAGATGGATGGGGTGTCAAGGTGCTGGTTTCGGTTGAAGAAGAGGACCTGCTTGCCCAGAATCAAGACTTAGTTCAGGGGTACTAAGCATTCTGTCGGGCTTTCCGTGGCTTGGCCCCTGAAATGAACCTCTATACGGATTGCGGAATACCCGTACATGGTACATCGCATGCTGTATTCCATCTCCCCTCAGCTATCTGTCTCAAGATAGAAGGACAGACGACATGCCAAGGAGCGTACCAGCGACCGATGTGGGGTCTCGCATATCTCACGACAGCCTTGACAGAGAGAGGCCTCGATATGGACAGTGTTGAGCAAGTCGTTCGGGAGAAAGCGTGCGTCCAATATCCACCGTGGTGGAAACGCGCAGAATCCTCCTGAACCCTTCTTTTGCTCTGATCTATTCCCCTTAAGTCTCCAACCTCCTGAGAGCCAAATTGAAGTAAAGCATGATGATATAAACGATTTGAATGACAGAACTGTTACAATCTCACCATATGATTAGACTTTGTTGGGTTACATCTCTGTCTTTCTCCAGGGATCTTCAACATCTCATTCCAGGGTTTTGTAGGGCTCCATCCAGATTTCCCGGTTTCACCACAACCAGGCAGACACCAAAAAGAAGGACCCAGTTCGGAAGCTTGAGTCGCCCCACTTCTGCCTTGTAGGGCTGACTCTCTTGGCAAAATTACTATGTTAAGTTTAATGTTAATTTTAATTTTGGCCGAAGTCAGATTATAGCGCCGTGACCGCTTGATGGTAGTAGGCTAGCACCCTAGGGTAGGCAGGCGTGAGAGTAAGGTTGGCCACGGGATCGGATGATCTTATCTGATGCCCGCCTCATTTTATCTGATGCATCCCCCCTTCTTCCCTTTACCTTCTACCCTCTACCTTCCACCTTCATCCTTTCTTTCTTTTCCTTCAATCCCTCCCGATCACCCCAGTATCAGCACTATGGCGGGGGTGAAAGATATTGACATTAATGAGAAAGAGAAAGACCTCAAGGAGTCTCCTTCTCAATCGAATACTAATGGTCAGTTTGCTGTGTTTTCACCTCCTTTTTAAGAGAAAACAAAGAAATGTTGGGAATTAATCAATTACTGACTCCCTTCCAACAGACACTGACGCCGAAGGCGATGTCCTCCGTGCCGCCGGTATCGATCTCACCCAGGATGATAACACTGAGAATATTTTGACCCTTCGCATGTGGGTGCTTGCCATTGGCTTCTGCATCGTTGCAAGTGGTCTCAACACCCTCTACACCCTACGACAGCCCTCTTTGACCATTTCTGCAAATGCTGTTCTTCTATTAGCCTACCCTTTGGGAAAGCTGTGGGAGAAGGCTGTGCCCGCTTGGGATGTGCCCTTGCGGGCTTGGTCTTTCAGTCTCAACCCGGGACATTTCAGTACCAAGGTATGCGATCAAGGTTGCCCACACTTTGGGGAAATAATACCCAGTTCTCACGAATCCCTCTTCCTAGGAACACACCTTGATCTATGTCATGTCGAACCTGAGTATCTACGTTCGTCTCGGTGCCGATGTCTTGGTGGAACAGGAAAAGTTTTATGGCTACAATGCTGGCTGGGGTTTCCAGATTCTCATAACTTTATCGACCTTGCTGATTGGGTTCTGTCTTGCTGGTCTATTCCGATCCATTGTCGTCATTCCCAGGGAGCTCATTTGGCCTGGTGTTCTCGGTGTAACAGCTCTCACGACCACTTTGCATAATGTTTCTCGCGGCGAAACAAGGCTCGTTCCCAAATCAAACTTTAAAGCCCTTCTTAGCTGACTTGATCACAGCTTCAATACCTGGAAAATATCCCGATACGCCTTCTTTTCGATTGTTTGTGCCGGCTCTTTCTGCTGGTACTGGTTTCCTGACTTTATCTTTCCGGCACTGAGCTATTTCAATTTCCCTTGTTGGATCAAGCCACACAATACCGTCGTGAATCAGGTATTCGGGATGAGCTCCGGCATGGGACTCATTCCTATCACATTTGACTGTATGGACGCCTTCTTCATTTTCATCTTCAGTACACTGCTTACCTAGATTTAGGGAGCCAAATATCCTACGTAGGATCTCCCCTGCTAGTTCCCTTGTGGGCAATTCTTAATGTTTTCGGATCCCTCGTGTTTTGGATCTGGATCGTGGCTGTTGCTTGTTACTACACCAATGTGTGGAACACAGGTTACCTGCCGTTCCAAAGCTCCAATGGTAGGTGTCCTCCACGATGTTTAACACCCAGCCCTCAGTCCTGAACAATCAAAAACATTGACACACTATCAAATAGTCTTCGATAATACCGGAGCCACCTACAAGGTATCCAAGATTGTGAATGCTGCCTCGAATTATACGTTGGATGTGGCCAAGTACCTCGCATATTCGCCGGTAAGCTAACATTTCCTCTCACTCTTGCTCGCATGGTGCCAAAGTACCCATTGCCTAATTATCTATCTCTAGGTCTACATGCCAATCACCTATGCTATGAACATGGTCGGTCTGTCATTTGCCACTCTCACTGCCCTCCTAGTCTGGGTCGCCCTGAACCATCGTGATGTCATGGTGGATGCAGCGAGACGAATTCCTAATGTTGTGATGGAATCACTTCCCGGGCGGCCGAAAACCGTCAATGACGATGAAACAGGAGCACCAGAAGTTCCGATGTGGTGGTATATGATTAGCTGCCTCGTTGCCCTCTTTATGGCGATCTTCGCAGTTGAATACTGGGATGTTGGGATTAGGTGGTATGGAGTTTTGCTGGCTCTAGCGATTGCTCTAGTTTTCTTCCCTCCGGTTCGTATGACTTCAAACGTTTCCCTTCCTTTCAGATACGCCGGTGGGAAAACTGACATGTTTTTCTTTTCTAGCTTGCCCTTGTCTACGGGACGGCCAATACCAAGATCAACATTGACATCTTCTGTCGCATCGTCGCTGGGTTCGTCTTTGAGGGCAGTGTCCTAGCAAATATCTGGTTCTTTGATATTGGCTATATCACGACCATCAAGGGACTATGGTTCGCACAGGACATGAAGCTCGCCTATTACTCCCATGTAAGGCTTTGGCTTTGGTGCTAATTGCGTGTTTTCTTGAAAGCCTGGCTGATCTTTCTTGCAGATCCCTCAGCGTAAGCTCTTCCTTGTGCAGTGTGTTGGAATGGTCATCGGCACGCTGTCCTCTTTGGGTGTTCTGAACTGGGCTCTGCATCACATCGAGGGCGTCTGCACCAGTGCCGCCCCCAATGGATTCACTTGCCCATTCTCCAAAACGCACTTCAACACTTCCCTGATCTGGGGCGCAATCGGGCCACGTCGCTATTTCCAGAGTGAAATCGGTTACTCTTCTCTGTTGTATTTCTTCCTCATCGGCGCCATTCTCCCGATCCCCGTGTACATTCTAAGTCGCCGATACCCCAACTCGATGTGGAAGCGGGTGCATATTCCACTCTTTCTCGGTGGTTTAAATTTCCTGCCTCCGGCGACTGGAATGAACTACGGCAGTTGGGCGATCGTCGGCCTGACATTTAGCTGGTTCATTCGAAAGCGCCTTCACGCCTGGTGGAGCAAGTACAACTTTGTTCTGAGCTCGGCATTGGACTCATCCGTCAGTGTCGCTGGTGTGCTGATCTTCTTGACTATCTTTTTCACAGGGGCGAGCAAGCACTTTAAATGGTGGGGAACCGATGTGTACAAGGTATGTGAACACTCCACCGCTACGCCTAGTACACTTGACGCGTTATTCATACGCGTTAACTACGTGTCACGCGTTCATGGATGTTCTCCATCTCTACGAGTAGAACTATGCTAACTCAAGCCGACGGTAGAATACTTGCGACTGGAAGGGTTGCCCGCATTTGACGCTATCCAAGGGAGAAAAGATCGGACTATAATTAGTATTGTTATTCTGATGTTTCAATGCGCGTCCTCGGGCTGAAGCAACCGCGTGGAGACACACTGCAATCGTGGGGTGGAAAAAGTGGAGAAGAAAGGGGGGAAAGAAAAGGGTCTTGCTCGGGCGACCTCATGCTTACATTGGTGGTAGAATTTACCAGTACTTTTCAATGTTATTACTACCTAAGTAGTCATTAATTCCACTCTCGCTGTTAAAGTCCACGCTGTTTGTAGAATAACCACCTGAACATTGTCACGGTCACGGTCATTTCAAGTTTTTATATTGTTCTGACATGAAGGAAGGTGGATATGTATAGAATCAAGGTGATCCATATTTCGGAGAGAGATATATATACTCTGCCAGATCCCGTGACTGCACTTTAGTTTAGACCATACTAGTACTACCGGCACTAAACGCACCTGGGCAGAGTATCCCTCTCTTTTAACAGCAGCACAGCTATGGAAGATGCAAAATCGAATAATAAAGCTGGAAATAATCATCAATATCTATACACAGTTCCTTGAACACTTTTCAGATGCCAGTGACTACTAGTATATACTCCGTACTGCTGGCTTCCACGTGTTGCATCACGTGCCAGATGATCTGATCTGATAAGATCATGTGCCTGGCCTGACCTGTTCTTTACTCCGACTCGCTGCTTTCCATCTCAACTGCTGACCTTTTCTTGACTCCGAGTCCTTACACGAAATATCTTGGTGGTAAATACCCTCCTACTCCGGAGATATCCCTTTCCATCTCTCCCATGCGTTCCGCTGGAACCAGGCTGCCCAGGTGTCCACAGACTTTTCCCTCGCCCCCTGGTGGGTCTCGCCCGGTCGGAGAGTGCGATCATCGGCCCTCCGCCTTTTCTCCTCATCTTCTCCAAGTTCCCGGTCCCTCAATCCGCACGGAAAGCATCCATGCTGCGTCTTCGATGGCTGGTCATCGCACTGGCTACCCAGTCGGCCTGGGGTAGTGGCCTACCACAAGAGGAACGATGCGTAACCGCCGTTTATTCCACATATAACTACATCACCTTTGCCGGAACCCCTGCAGGTGGCTTGTGGGACACCCGATGTCAAAACCCCCTCAAGGTGGCCTCTATCTATGCAGCCTCAGAGACCTACTGTCGCGACAGTGAGCGTGCAGCAGGTTTTGCACAGCTGGCACTCTTCTGTGAAGAGTTCGGCCACGTCGAACTACTACCCCGAGACGCCGTCGCCGAGAACTTGACTGAAGATGCTATTCGAAATATGCGCACAGTTGATTACCTTGAACTCTCTCGCGGTGACCCGGTGGAGATGCCGGTTCTTATTTCCGCCTCATATTTCAACGTGATGTTTAACACAATAGTACGCTCCCAATTCGTTCGAACTAATCATTTATCTATGCAGGAAGCTAACCGGGTGATCACTTACCCTGAATAGGATTCGTGGCAATATGAATCTTGGTCCCATCATGCATTCGGGTAAGTCAAGTTCATTAGGATCCAACGTTCTCCAAAACAATTTCCAAACCACGCGCCAATACTGATGTCCGATGGAATAGGTACATCGGTTATGCCTATTGGGCTGGAATCTTGTTCCTAGGCATGGCGTCTCGCTTTTACAGTCGCATGATCTACTCTCGCAAGGCCCGACCGGAACGCGAGGTAGAGTCTAATACCTATCCCGCGACAGGCACCAAGTATGCCATACCATGGATGGGAAATTCAGCACACTGGGTGCAAACACACCTGACCGTTCCAGCTCCTTTACCCAACGGGAGACGGCAATTGCTTGGGTTTACCTATACAACTCGAGCGGAGGCACTTGCGGTGGCCGGCTTTTGGCTCCTGAGTACTGTGCTGAGTGTGGTCGGCTACCGAACCTTTCCCGGAAACATCTAGTACGTGTGGTGCACCATCATTCTTTGGAATTATAGCGGCCACTAATCAAATCTAGTTGGCCAAATCCGACCGACCAGATTCTTCGGTACTCCGCAGATCGAACAGGTGTCATGTCGTTCGTCAATTTCCCTTTACTGTGGCTTTTCGGAGGCCGCAATAACATCCTCATGTGGGCTACTGGGTGGAGCTTTGCAACATTCAATATCTACCATCGCCATGTGGCCCGGGTTGCGACGCTGCAAGGGGTGGCACACTCCATAATCTATGTTGTGATATACATTCGAGGTAAGTGGCGGACCGTCCCGATGCATGCTGCTCGTCGTTGTGATCTGGAGTGAATGCTAAGCAGTGCATGCGATGTAGCAAATAAGCTTTGGAAAGGACTGTCCAAGGTCTATGTGCTCTGGGGTGTTTTGGTAGGATATTGTCTCGATTCATTCATTTTGACCTGGTAGATACTGATAATGTCAGGCTTTCGTCGTGATGACTTTATTGCTGATCACCTCTCTTGACCGTATTCGATTCGCCACTTACGAGATATTTCTGATCACCCACATCTTGTTATCTGTGATAACACTCGTTGGGTGCTTTTAGTGAGTTTCCAGAGACGGTTGACTTACTACCTCAAATTCTTGCTGATCCTTAATAGCCACTCAATCGTATTTGAAGGACATGAATACTGGCAGTACCTCTGGCCCTCCGTTGGGGTATGGGTTCTTGATTGGGATCTAAGGATAATCAGACTTGTCTATTGCAACATGCATATCGGTATTACCGGTCGAAACAAAGTCCAGACGACTCGAAGCCGTATGTCCTATGATCAAGACGCCGATGTGATCCGACTTGAAGTCACGCCGGGGACGAAGATGTTGCAGCCTAAGCCCGGCGACTATTATTTTCTTTATCAGCCATTGCAACTCGTGGGCTGGGAGAATCATCCTTTCACCGTTGGAGCATGGTCTCATGACCACAGGTTCGACAGATCACTTGCGACAGCCTCCGGTAAACAAAACGGGTTACTAGATGTCTCTCAACTCCCACTGTTGCCTGGAAATCCGACCATGGAAGAAAATCAAGATGAATTAGGGGAAACTGCGGAGAAATCAGATGACTCGGGACTAAAGTTGATTTTTTGGATTCGACCCTATGATGGATGGACGCAGAAATTGCGCCGGGAGTGTCTTCGCTCAAAAGGTCAGACCGTGGATACCACGATCCTCCTGGAAGGGCCATACGGACATAATTTCCCGCTGTGGAGATATGAGTCTGTGCTCTTGATTGTTGGTGGGACAGGGATCGCATCTGCGGTCCCGTATATCCAAGATCACATCCGGCGCTCAGTAGGTGGAAGCGATATCTCGGAAGAGAAAACTCAAATACGAGATATGGAGTTGGTCTGGACCGCCCGGCAAACAGCATTTCTCCAAGAAGTTGCCTCCCGGGAGCTTTGGCCTGCTTTGGGCCGTGAAGACTTCCAGGCCTCTTTCTATGCGACTCGAGCCTCTGAAGTGCCTCTTCCTAGTGAGCTTGCGGGCTTAGGGTGCGGGATCAGCACCGGTCGCCCTCATATCCCGTCTTTGATCATGAGCCGGGCTTGTGATGCCACTGCAGCTGGCTCCACGCTGGCAATTCTCGTGTGTGGACCGGCAGGAATGGCCGACGAGGCTCGCGCCGCAACCCATCTCGCGATGCGGCAAGGCTACCAGTCGATCAAGTACGTAGAGGAGTCCTTTGCATGGTAGCGATGGTCGGTGAGACAGCCCAACGTGCCTAGTGCCGCGGGTTTGTGATTAGTGAACGTGTGATGAGCATATTGGATCAAGAAACTGTTGATTCTTGTTCAGACTTTCCTGTTTAGACCTACATTAGAGCGTGCCTTTGAATTCTACGAGCCCTTTGACAAAAGCAATACCACGGCGTGCCGTATTTTCGATCATATGATTCGCCGGGCTGTTTTGGTAACTCGACCTGAATTCCTAAGATCGACAGATCGCCTTTGATAGAAAATACCAAAAACTTGCTTTGAAAGGGGAACAGCGCTTCCGATGCCCGGAATTGACCCTGCGTGACGCAGGCGGAAAAGGGGAAGCTGCAAACCCCTGCATGGGGTTATTGATTCCGAATTGGATGGGGGCGAACAAGCCGAAGTACGATCGAAGTACAATGGTTGTCATTCAAAAGCTCTCAAGTCGAGAAACATGCTCTACAGTCCGTTATGGATGAAGTGATCGAGATCTCCATCTTTAAGGCCCGGACCGAACTCAAAAAACGAAATTAGCAAGTTGAAATACTCTGGGGAAATGGCGAAAGCAGAAACAGCAGCAGCAGCAGCCCCCAGATCTGTTGAGTTGACACATCATATATCAACGCCGATCACTCTGGGGGAACACCACCATGAACGCGACCTGCATAGCAAAAAGCAAATAATATTTGCAGCTCGGTAGATCTCAATTTCGAGTGGAGAGACCTGCAGCCACATTCACTAGCCGCCAACTTGTGTAACTTCTGACACCGCTCGTGTTTATGGAGTACGAGTAGGAGGATGGTTCATCCATTCGAGAGCTCTCCGACCGGCATTTGGGCGTCGATCGACAGGGACAACTGGGACATGTTCCTGCAGGGTAACTCTCAGGTTGAACATGTATCACACCAAGGCACTCAAGACTGCAGTGCCAAGCGAGCAAAAAGTCCCGATGGCAGTCGCTACACAGAGTTCGTGTGCTGAGAAGAAGCAATGATCCACGATCGCCACCAGCAGGGTCGACGAATCTATTGATTTTCAACAAAGTAGAGCATGCAAGATGCTATGGACTACTCAAACTTTGCATCCAGAAAGGAGAAAATGAAGAGGTCGGGCAAGAGATGAAAAGGTATAAAGTCATTGAAGAATCCGGTCTCAATCTTCTTTCCATCATCAGCTTCATTCACTCTTCTGAATATCCTCGTCTTTCCACTCTCACTCTTCTCCTTCATTCTCTCTTTGATCCACTCCTCGCGACAAAAACACCCTAAACAATCAAAATGAAGTTCTTCGCCACCGCTCTTGTCTTCGCTGCCGCCGCTCTGGCCATGCCTCACTCCCCCGGTGCTGAGGGCTCTGGTGACGGCGTCGGTGGAGGTAACAGCAACGTTCAGTTCCCCGTCAAGAAGGAGACCACCATTCAGCAGGCTCAGGCCAAGTGCGGTAACGACGCCAAGGTCAACTGCTGCAACAAGGCCACCTACACCCACGACATCACCACTGCCAACACTGGCCCTCTGGCCGGTGTTCTCCAGACTGCTCTGGGTGGTGGCCCCGGTGGTGACGGTCTTGGCCTCTTCGGCCAGTGTAACGACATCAGCGCCAACGGTAAGTCTATCAATAAATCTCGTGATAAGATTGTTCCAAAAATTTACTAAATCATTCGACTCCAGTTCCCGTTCTGAACATTGTTGGTGGCGGTATCGACCAGCTCGTTGAGCAGAAGTGCAAGCAGAACATTGCCTGCTGCCAGAACGACGGTGCCCAGGCTGTAAGCCCCCCCATATCTCCCTCAACTTCTCCCCATAATTCAGCCTGCTAACATTATCTTTAGAACGGCAACCTCGTCGGAGTCGCTCTTCCCTGCGTCGCCCTCGGCTCTCTGCTGTAAGCTTGACACTTTGTGTCTTTGTTATCGTCGGGATCAACGAGGGAGCCACCATGTGCAACGGTTAGGGTGGCCAATCGCCCGCGAGGAGTATACAATGAATCTACGTACATACATGTACACTGCAACGTTTACGCAAGGCCCTTTTGATCCGGTTTTGATGCAGTAGTGGTCTGAGGGGACTTGTCGGCCGCCGGATCATGTCCTTCGTTTGCCTTTCGTTTGTCTCTTACTTGGGACTACAATTATGTATTTATTCTATTTAATAGAAGGCCCTTGCTAATTCTGTCCACTTTGTCCTTGAAGTTGATTAACAATCTTGTTGTTTGCATGCAAGTTCTCATCTTTTGTAGATCTAACAGACCGAGGGGCTTTCGATAGAGAAAGTCTCGATTCGACTAAAGCTACTCCGATATATTGAAACTTCAATCCACAACCTTCCCAGTTGGCAGTTCGTGCTGCTCTTCAACACCCCACTCAATATTCGTATATCCATTGGCAATGAGATAATCTTTCCACTCTTGATCGCCATGATCCAGGATCTTGTTGCTATCTTGGAGAACAAACCAAGCCAAAAGGGACCCCAGCACAGCAAATCCTGATCCGATTAGGAAGACAGCCTGAGTACCTCGCAGACTATCGTCCCCCCCAACTGGCCAGAATGGGCTTGAAAACTTGCGTGCCGATCGCTGCCCCTGCCTTGCTCCAAGCAGCAGCGAGACCGACTCCATGACCACGAAGGGCCGTTGGAAAACTTTCACTGGCCGTAAGAACAATCGTCGAGCCGGGGCCAACCTCCCCAAGAGTGAGGAAGATGCCATAGAGGACGATAAACAAGGGCAGCTTCGTTTGAATCGGCCCTAGCGCTCCTCCTAGTATGAAGCCGAGAATTGCCTGAAGCATGAATCCCAGCGCCATGGTGCGTCGGCGACCAATCTTATCAGACAGGAAGCCACCAATAAAAGCTCCGGGGATGTAGAAGCAGTTGATCAAGGTTCCCCATGCCATTGTCAGCGCTAGCGACGAGGATGGATTCACGCGACCGACGATGGTAGACGAGAAGAGACCAAACGGGTAGGAGATGTAGTTGTAACTGCATAACACAACTTTCATTAGCCCTTTTTGCTAAAATTGTGCCATCACTGAAAGAGACCTAGGTCGAGATCCACTTGTGATCGGCTGGTGGAGCTTCTCGTCTCCAACTTACATGAACCACGAGCCACACACACCCAACAGCGGTCGCCAATACATCTTCACGGCTAACCAGTATGGGATCCGTTGCTTTTTCATTGAGCTCTTACGATATGCTGTGCTCATCACCATGCGATAGCGAAACCAGAAAATCGATAGCGGTGCAATGGCACCCATGGCCAAGGAGACACGCCAGACGGCCTCATAGTGGCGGACTTGCTGGTGGAAACAAAGCAGCAGAACCAATGGAACAAGCGCCCCGAATGCAAATCCTAGTGAAGCCGAAAGATCACCAATCATCGCAAAGATAAAGCCACGTCGTTTGCGAATGCCCGGCGCCTCGTCCGTCGCTTCGGCGGCACCGGCACCTGCGACGGGATATTCTCTGCCAAACACACTAGTTAGCACAGGAGCTTCAAGGGAAACCTGAAGAGAGAAGTTCTTAGGGTCTCAGGCTTCAGTTTATGTCTTACCCGCCTGCGCCCACACCGGCGATTCCACGTGCAATGATTAGCATCCAGAACATACCATCTTCCGTGAGACCACTGGCACCGGCACTGAGAGCGATTCCAAGCACCAAAATCGTCGTTGTTAGGACGGCGCCTGTCTTACGACCGAGCTTATCGGAGATGTATCCAAATGACAGCATTCCGATGATCATGCCGACCATGAAGGCATTCGATAGCCGCGCCGCGACCTCGGTGGTCAGTGAATTGGGATAAATGACTCCCATCAACAATTCGATGTTACCAATGATTGAGGCGTTAAATCCGTCCGATCCGATGGCTAGACCGCTGAAGACGACCATCATCACCATCGAGATGCGCGAATAACCCCGATCAGGGCCATCTTCGGGTGCATTGGGGTTGGCTTGGGCAGTCGCAGGGGCGGTTGCATTGGGTGTCGCAGTGGGAATTTCATGACTCGAGACTACTTTCTCCTGTTTCTTCTCATCAGATGGTGCGGTCGGCTTCGAAATGGCACTCTCCTCATTTTCGACTATCGTGAACTCGTTCATGCTGGGCTGCTGCGTAGGATACGCAACCATTCCTTATAGTTTGAATCGCGTATCCCCCTTCCCTTTCACATTGGCCGCACCTCACACTTTATATCGATGCGCTACAGGCTTGCACCGCATGGACCTGCATCCTTTTGGGTATAGAACCGATTTGCTAGAGATTGCCATGCTTTCTTTAGAGCCCACCACGCGCCAATCAGCTGGCATGCTTTGGTATGCGGGGGTTAATCAAGGGTGGTCGGAAGAAGCTAACACGCCGGTTGGCGACCGTTACTAAACCAACATGATTCCGATCAATCAACATCGTTGAAACCCGCTGAGTAAACCTAGCTTTTACGCTAAGAAACCTTGCAATTGCCGGGTGGGACTCGCACGAAACGCCGTCGCTGCGGGAGGAAGGTCAAAACGAGGCGATAGCCGAGCCCCAAATGCCATATCGCCGGCAAATGGAAATGCGAGGGCGAAAGGTGATGCAAAATTCCCCGTCTGATCTGATCTGATCTGATCCCTGCGCGGCTTGAACTTCAACGGAAATTCGATTCAATTGATAACGCGTTATGTCGAAACATTCGGATTGGAACGCACCCGACGTGGAGGCTCGGGCGATCTCGATCCCTGGCAACTCTAGACGCAATCGCTTTTCTCTCCGCAATGCAGCGTGGGCGCTTGTGGGGGCTGGTCTTGCAGCATCTGGATTCTATCACTATTCCTCTCAACACAAAACCCCACGGTCGCATCTACATCTTCTTCCTGAGACCGGAGGCAATTTCGCACCTTGCCGAGGCCATGAAGATTCCGACCGTTTGAAAAGTTTCCAGCAGTGTGCAATTGACAATCTTCTGAATACCGGTCTGCCCTTTCTGGAAAATGCATCGCCCATTACCGTTGATGATTTCGAGGAACGCCGTCAGCGGCTGGCTGAGGCCTTGGTGGCTGAAGATGTCGATGCATTTGTAGTCGAACCGGGCTACACTTTCAAGTATTATGGCAACGTGAGCCAACCTGAGTGGGAAGTATGGGAGGTGCGTAGGCCATCGATTAGTTAACCTCTCCTTTTAAATACGTTGTGCTAAAATATGAGATAGCCCGAAGAACGCCCATTCCTGATGGTTGTGCGCCCATTTTATGACCAAACAGGCAGTGTCAAGGCTAACACGACTTTTCTCTGCCCATCATTTGAGGCTGAGCGAGCGCGACTCCTTGGAATGCCATTTACCGAAGCCATTCAAATTGTGCCATGGGAAGAGCACTGGGATCCCTATACCATTCTCCAGGAATCCGATGTGTTCTCCGATCTGACTCGCACCCCTCGGTTGATGGTCGATGAAGAAATGCGAGACTTCATCCAACGAGGACTGGCATCAGTCGGATTCGATGTTGTGGGGTTGGGAGGCCACGTTGAAGAGGTTCGCCAGATCAAGAGCGCAAGCGAGGTTGAGATTCTCCGCGCCGTTAACACAGGAACTGTTGAAGCGGTACGCCAGATGAGAAAATGTCGTTGTTCCCACTAAAACGATTGGAGACTAAATGCTGACTGCTATACTTGACAGGTCTATACCCTGGTCTGACTGAGAATCAAATTGCTGCAGCCCTAGATGATGCTCTGCGGGCAGCTGGAATGGAACCATTCTTCGATATTGTACTATTCGATGAGAATGCATCGAATCCCCATGGGGGTACCAATGGAACAAAGGTTCTTGAAGCCGAGACGTTTGTATTAATTGATGTTGGGGCCCATCTGTATGGTTACTCCTCCGATATTTGTCGCACTTTCTTCCCCCCATTTTTTGAGAAGCCGTCGGAGAACGAGAAGACCCTGGCCCCGCACATCGCGGAGAAACTCAAGGTCTGGGATATTGTCTTTGAAGCACAGACGCAATCAATTCACCAGTTCCGAGAGAATTACACTGCCGCGAGTGTGGATATCGCTGCGCGCAACGTGATTGACGGAGCCGGGTATGAGGGAACTTTTACTCATCGCCTCGGCCACGGGATCGGAATCAAGGGTAAGCTTCTTCCCATTGCGTGTCTTTATTTTTCTTTGCTGATTTCTCCGCTCATTTTAAACAGCCCATGAAAGCCCCTATCTCAACAAGGGAAACCACAAGACTCTTCTCAAGACCGGAATGGCTTTCACTTCCGAGCCCGGTATCTATCTAGTTGACAAGTTCGGTGTCAGACATGAGGATATTCTTCTTGTCCAGGGCGACAACGAGCCTGAGCTGCTGACTGGAAGCAGGGCCGTTGGACCATGGAACCCATGAATGGAGCTTCTAGAGCTACCGGCATCCCAAGGTGACCCATTCGTCAAGTGTGATCGTCAAGTGTGATCTACTCCAGGAGCAACATATTCTCGGCGAAGTCAATTATCGACGCAGTGGGCCAGATAGAACAATTGCGAGGATTAGTTCCCGATTCAAAATTTACAAGCAAATCGTGATCGGATACAACTAGGGTCTGAGGATGTCAAAGTATACAGATTAGTATTTGCCCCACCTAAAGTGATTTATTTCTGTCGCCCTCATACTAGTACCTAGCCAAATGCTTTTGGACGAGTAGTATATTTCCGATCGCCTTGTGAGATTATCTTGTAAGAAAAAGGAAACTCAAATGCCATTGCCGAAATAATTCTGCAATGCCGAAATGATATCACGTTCATGCTCTACCAACGCTCCTTCTACTCTTATATGGGCCGATAGTACTATCTGCGAGTATCTGAACCCTATCAGAAGGTTCCAACAATGTACAAGGTATAGCGAAGGACTTCTAGAACCGGAACTACCAATCTTGCGGGCCCAAGGTGCTGTCAAGCGGGTCCACCGGCGATCGGCCCTGCAAGGTCTAGTGAGTGGAGTGCGCAGGCTGAGAGTGATGGTGATGATCGGGAAATACATACAATATGGCACATGGTACTACTCGTAGGGTATTCCATTTCTAAGTAGAATCAAGTATATAGTACTAGTCGTGCATGGTGAACACCGGGCAGGCCAACCAGCTGAGCAGATGATGGGAGGGCCGATACCGGGATTGATTATGTAGAATGAGTGAGAAGAAGTGAGACTGGCACGTCATCCTGGTCTTATTCTTAGTGCACAGTCGAGCCTCGGCCTGTACTCGGTAGATTCTAGAATACGAATACTGGATCATACACCAGTGAAGAAACTGAAACATTGAACTTCGTATTTGTGGACTGCAGAATTATCTGATCTTGGGTGGAGCCCCACGAGTTTTCGGCCAACTCGATGGCCATTCATTTATTCATTTCGGGTTGAAGGGATCCGATTAGTTGGATATTACAGAGGAATATCCATGAATTCACCCCATTCTCGGAGATGACCTCTCCCACTTGCCTATTCCAACCTCATTCTCCGAGTGGACCCGACGTAAGCGAAGAACCCGCGAATATCAAATATATTACCGACGGATACAGAATAATACAGGATATATTACCTTATGATACATAACGTGTATGCAATACACAATACACAAAATACAATACGTATAAATACATCACCATACCAATCTAATAGTAGACCAGTAGACCACACACTTATCATTATATGATACTCTAACTAGTAGTAAATAGACTAGTCAGTATAGATACAGTATCTGTATACTTATTTATTCAAAAACTCACCCCTCACTAGTTACTCTATGTACTCGTACTCGCATGTTCACTGTGTACACACTCATCCCCCGGTGGATCGATCTGAGACGAGGACATCTCCACCATTCCATCCACCCTTCCACCTTTCCACCATTGGCACTCCCCACTCTTCTGCATTGCAATTCGCATTATTCCCCTCTTCCTGCTAAAAGCCGCGCTTCCCCTCCAATTTTGACTTCAAGTTTTGCATTCAACCCTGCATTGACCCTCCTTGGCCATGGCAATCCCTCCCTCTGTCCAACGTCTGAACCAGACTCTCGCTCACCTTCATCCCGCTGCTGCGCCGCTGCACCTGTCGATCGTTGCCGGTCCGACTCATCCCAAGCTACTCGACATCACCCTCGGTGAATTGTTGACCATTCAGGCCCTACACTATGCTGACTATGAATGTCTGGTCTTTCCCTGGACTGGAGCTCGCTGGACCTATGCTCAGCTAAAGGATGAGGCCGATCGCCTTGCCCGCGGCATGCTAGCCATGGGAATTCAAAAGGGCGATCGTGTGGGTGTGATGGCTGGCAATTGCGAGCAGTACATCTCCGTCTTCTTCGCCGCAGCTCGCGTGGGCGCCATTCTGGTGGTTCTCAACAACACCTACACTCCCTCCGAGCTGTCCTATGCTCTGAATCACTCTGGTATGATTTATGGTTTATGATTTCTGCCCTACGCAGCAATCCTGCAGATCCTTCCAGACCTCCCGCTGATCAAAGAACTCCACTGGTCCATTCAGGTTGCCGTCTTCTCTTCATGACCCCCCAAATCGGCCGCCACAACCTCGAAGAAGTCCTGATTGAACTCGGCCCGACCCCGAAGCAAAATGGAACCTCGGACTTCCTCGACGAGATTGTCATCCTGCGCGGAGACTACAAAGACTTCCCCACCTACGTCGATGTCATTCAACGCGGCGTTTCACAGCCTGCTCATCTTCTTCAAGATCGCGAGGCCGCACTTCGCCCCGACGATGTCTGCAATCTGCAATTCACGAGTGGTTCGACTGGAAACCCCAAGGCCGCCATGTTGACCCATCAGTATGTTTAAACTCTGCTGGCGAAGATCATCGGGATCATCGCGCGCTAACCTTCCCCGCGCAGCAACTTGGTCAACAACTCCCGCTTCATTGGTGATCGCATGAATCTGTCCTCTTTCGATATCCTTTGCTGCCCCCCACCGCTCTTCCACTGCTTCGGTCTAGTTCTCGGCATGTTGGCCGTCGTCACTCACGGATCCAAGATCATCTTTCCCAGTGAAACCTTCGACCCCAAGGCTGTCCTGCATGCCATCTCCGACGAGAAGTGCACAGCCCTGCATGGTGTTCCAACCATGTTCGAAGCCATCCTAAGTATTCCCAAGCCCGCTAACTTTGATACCTCGAATCTGCGTACAGGAATTATTGCCGGGGCTCCGGTCCCGCGTCCCCTAATGAAGCGCTTGCTGGAAGAATTGAACATGACCGAGTACACTAGCAGTTATGGTAAATTTTCAGTCGTCCTCGCCTTCGCCCTGTTCTTATGTCGCTAATAAAAACGAAAAGGTCTCACCGAGGCATCCCCGACCTGCTTCAATGCCTTCACCACCGACAGTATTCACACCCGACTCACCACGGTCGGAAAGGTTTTGCCCCACGCCCGGGCCAAGATTGTTGATGCCCAGGGAAACATTGTTCCCGTTGGCCAGCGAGGTGAACTCTGTATGGCAGGGTATCAGCTCACCAAGGGCTACTGGAATAATCCAAAGAAGACGGCCGAGACCCTTGTCACCGATGCCGAGGGCGTCACTTGGTTGAAGACTGGTGACGAAGCCTCTTTCAACGAGCACGGCTACTGCACAATCACTGGCCGATTCAAGGATATCATCATCCGCGGTAAGCTTCATATGTCACACACAGCATCTAGATCGCAAGTCGAACCCAGGCTAACTCACTCCATCATAGGCGGCGAAAACATCTACCCTCTCGAGATTGAAGAGCGACTTGCCGCCCATCCCAACATCGAACTGGCTTCTGTCATCGGCATCACCGACCAGAAATACGGAGAAGTGGTGGGTGCCTTTATCCTGGTCACCCCGGTCAAGCCCGACCGGCCGATGACGATCTGCGTGCCTGGACCCGAGAGACTCTTGGTCGACACAAGGCGCCGCAGCATGTGTTTGTGTTTGGCGAAGAGGGAGTGCCCAACACTGTCCCCATAACTGGCAGTGGAAAAGTTCGCAAGGTCGAGCTTCGCGATATGGCAACTGTCGCCCTCACCCAGCGGGCCTAATGTCATGATGCCCAATGCCGTCTCCGTCTCCGTCTCCGTCTCCCGCCTGCATCGCCGGTTAATACCCTTTTTATTCCCCCTGCTTCATCTTTTTTTCTTAGCTAGGCGTGTTCATTTTCATGCTTTCTCGGGATAGAACCAAAAGAATTTTTTCTAGAGTGCCCCACCAGGCTACATTTTATCAGATTATGCGAGGCGCAGCGTTTTCCACTTGCCAAGACAAGATTTTCAGCAATTAATTTCTTTCTCTTTCTTTCTTTGCATTTTCCTTGCATCCTTCTGTTCATATTCCTGTTCTGCTTCCCCTCCCTCTTTCAACGCTAGTAACGACGAATCTTGACGAAAAGGGGGCTTTTTTTTAGCGACTTGGCGTTGGCGAGTGATAATGACGCGTTCCCTTAATCAGATTAGATGATCACCTTGTCTGATCAAACGAGCCATTTTGATTGGTTCCGGTGGGTTGGTAATTACTGGAATAACCAATACAAGCCACAACCACGGATTCACGGCAATACATCAGAATACCATGAATACATGAATATACACGAGAAATTCTCCACTGCAACCTCGTCAGGTCGGTTTAACCCGCGGGAAAAGCGGATTCTTCTGCCTTGTTGGTTTAGTCGTGGTCTGCAGGGTCACTGGCATATGTACATGTACACAGAGCCATGACATAGGAGGATTAACAAGCATCCTATCATTTCCTTGTGTTTCTTGTCAATTGCTCGGACTCGGAACTTGAAGCATTCTTCTTCATGGGGTCAGGCTCAGGCTCAGGCTCAGGGTTCTTCATGACGTTCTCACACGGTCCCTCCACTGAACACCCAAAGGTAACAGACCCGTCGGAGACATCGGAGCAAAATGGAAGTTCAAGCCTTCAACCCAGCTGCCAAGAATCACCGTGGAGCATGGAGCGTGGATGTATACGAAGGGAGGCTGACTATGAAAAGCTGACTGGCCAGAACCGAAGCTCCCCACCGGCCAAGAAATGGCGGGCTCCAAAGCTTTGGTACGAATAGTATTTTCTTTTTCTTTTGCTTTCCTGTTTCATCCGCCTTTGCTTTCCCTCTTTCGGATCGGATCTGATAACAGCCGGAACCACGCCCTAAGGCGCACGACCCTCAACCTAAGGTTGGGATGTCTCATCTGATAAGATGAGATTCGGATCGGTAGCCTGCCGAGAATTCAGTGGCAGTGCCAATGCCAATGCCACTGCAATATGCCCAGGGATCCTTCAAGCTGGGTAATCCCCTAGCTCAAATAATATTGCGTCTTTGATTATGTCCAGGGTTCTCTCTTTTCTTCGTTCCCCTCTCCTCTACTCCCCTCCCTTCCCCTGTCGACATCTTTATTACTCACGCATTGCATCCCGATTCTACACTATGCCTTCCAATGACGGTGTTCCTGGTGCTCGATCCTATCGGGTGCTCATCATCGGTGGCTCCTACGCGGGGCTGAGCACTGCATTGACCCTGGTCGATCTTTCGCGGGGTCGCATACCTCGCTTCAGTTATGACCGAGAGATCGCGCCCCCGGCCCATCGCATCCCTGTAGACATTACGGTGATCGACGAACGAGATGGCTACTGTATGATATTATGATAGTTCGGGACCCTCTTGAGACTTTCACTCCGCTCACCGTCTGTAGATCATCTCATCGGATCGCCCAAGTCCCTAGCTTGCGAGAAATTTGCGTCCGACTCATGGACCCGGTTTCAGGACATTCCCGGCCTCAAATCCTCGGGCATCAACTTCATTCGCGGAAGCGTTAGCTCAGTGGACTTTGCAGCGAAGACGGCCCACATTGACGAAACAGACACGAAAGCGAAACGCAATGAGTCCTATGATTATCTTGTTGTTGGCTCTGGTTTGCGACGGACTTTCCCCACGGTCCCGCAGTCCCAAGTGCGAGCCGATTTTATCGCAGAAGCGAAAAGCCACGCCGAAGAGATTCAAAATTCTTGCGAGGGTGTAGTGGTTGTTGGTGGCGGTGAGTATTCATTCAATTTCCTCAATCCGAGTCTTCCCTGTGGTTCTGCGAAGCTCATCTTCTGTCGTATTATATTAGGTGCCGTTGGCGTGGAAATGGCCGCAGAGTTGAAGATTCTCTACCCAGATCAGAAAATTACTCTCATTCACTCGCGAAACCGTTTACTATCCTCGGAACCTTTGCCAGATGATTTCGCCGAGCGCGTTGAGTCATGCCTGCGTGAAGTGGGTGTGGAGACGATTCTGGGCCAGCGTGTTGTTGATACTACTGCTGTAGATACAGAGAACGGTCGCCGGGTGTGGCGTCTAGCGCTGGCCGATGGTCGAGAGCTGATGACTGGCCTCGTACTCAGCGCCATCTCGCGAAGCATTCCCACTTCCACATATCTTCCATCGGATGCATTGAACGAGGATGGCTATGTGAAGATTCATCCATCGTAAGTCCCCAGCCTCCACCTCCAGGCGTCTCGCTGATCTCCGCTATTAACATGGATAAACAGTCTTCAACTCTCCGGGTCCATCCCCAACGCAGAGAGCCACTACTGTGTGGGAGACCTTGCGGCGTGGCCCGGTATCAAACGATGTGGAGGGGCAATGCACATGGGTCACTATGCAGGTCATAACCTGTATGAGCATCTCATGGCACAATCTGCCGGCAGCAAGCCGGACGTGAAAAACCTGAACCCGTTCCCCAATGTCATCGGATTGGCCGTAGGAAAGAAAGCCGTCAGCTGGACCCCCGACGAGGGAACCAAACACGGCGAGGAGCTGATGACCAGCCTCTTCGGAGAGGATATGGGTAATTCCAGTAAGCACATTCCCCACTCTCTTGCCGATTGTACTGAGAGCTAACCCGAGATCAGATTGCTGGAATTACATGCAGCTTGGTGAGGCCTGCAAGGCATAGAATGATCTCTCTGTTGATTTGAAGTTTGTGGCTTTGATCCGAATCGGCGAGCGAGGTGTGCATATCCAAGGTTATCCACATATTTCCATGTATGACTCGTCGAGACCTGGTGTTTTTGGGGGGGGGTTTCAAGAAAGGCGAATTGCCGCTTTCGACTGGTGTTAGTGCAATTTAATTGAGTATTTTTCAAGTTCAATCTTCTTCCTTTTTTTCTGGGTGTTTCTGTATGGAGAGATATTCACTGGTAGAAGAAGAGTCTTTGGTTGGAGGTTGAATAGGAGTGGGATCGACCTTGGTCAAAGACCCGATTGTTGCACCCGCCTGTAGCCAGCGGTTCTGCCAACATGAGATACACTCCAAGGTATTCCGACCATGGCGGTCTCGGGCTCCTGGTAGGAATTGATGACAAGAGAGACAAAGGACAAAGAATTGGTCATTGATAGTGAGTTGGGCGCCGGGCCCATAGCGAGCGGTACGTCCACCCTCGCGAGGCATCAGACCACAGTCAATACAGAAGCGCTTGTGGCAGTCCCGAGCGGCGCGAGAACGACGATGTTGCAGCATCCGATCGGCGAATTGTACCGCGGGGCGCAGGCGTAGACAATAGCGACAGGTGAAGACATTGTGGTGACGAGCCCAGTCGGTGGCCTCGGCGTCCAAGAGTTGGCGGTGGGTGGGAGGAGAAAGGGAGTCGTATAAGTAAGCACAGGTTAGACGTAGGTGTAAGAGATCCGGGACGGGCAGTATGTCAGCGATGGCGATCTGTAGCTCTAATGGGAGACGGAGGAGCATAGAGTGAGCGAGAGTGAAAGTGAGATAGTATGGTGAGAAGTGATGAGGTGTTGAGAAGGTGAGGTGGTGAGAAGGTGATGAGCGGAACCTTGGACACAGCACGGGTACCGTGACCGTGACCGTGACCCGGACGGCAGTAATTATATAGTATGGTATAGGTATAGCATGATATAGTAGATGGTATAATATAACTATAGTCATTCATTCAATTTTGTTTAATACCTTTCTTATCCCTCATACGGCTGACGCTTCTCAATAAAGTTCTTCTCCCCAAAGGCCTGCTTGACACCCTCCTCCTGCAGAGTACGCTCATACCAACCAACGACAGTAGGATATTTCGGACGCATCTCAGCGTCGATCGCCATAGCGAATCCCCAAACCAGAGCCGACGCGACAGTGATATCAGCCATGCTGATCTTGTCTCCATTGACCAACCAGTTACGGCCCTGCAGGTGGGTTTCCAGGCAGGCCAGGGAACGCTCCAGGCGCTCGAGAGCCTTGGTCTCGGTGGCGGCGTCGTAAGGGACGAGCTTGATGCGCCATAGAGCGAGTTGCTGGACGGGATCGAGGATCTCGCCCTGTGCGAAGGAAATCCACTGGCGGATGGAGGCGCGGGCAGCCGGGGTGGCGCCCATCAGTTGGTCGGCAGCGGGGCCACTCTCAGCCACGAATTGAGCGATGGCGTCCGACTCGAAGATGACGGTACCATCGGCGGCTTCAAACGCGGGAACTTTCCCCAGAGGGAACTTGGAGATAAACTCCGGGGTCTTGTTGGTGACACCCATGGTAAACTGGGGACCGAGAGCTCCAGGCCATTGATGTTGGCGGCCGCCTGGGTCTGGAAGGGGTGGGGGTTAGCTGTCCATACTATTGATGCTCTGATATGCTAGAATACTAGAATGTACCTTCATGACCCTAGGGCTGGGCGAGTAGGAGTAGATGGTACCGAACGCCATATTGTGTGAGGATGAGGTGATGTGGAGGGGAAGTCTGCGGGGAAATGAGTGAACTAAGACTAAGTAGTAGTGCTATGAGTAAACAAAGGCCCCCAGCTGTAAATTAGTCAATCTTAGTAATTCTCCATGTCTCACTGTACCACCCGAACAGGCATACAACAGCTAAGGATCATACATAATGTGGAAACCAGTGGAAGCCGATTTCTAAGCAAAGTGGATCGAGTGGAGGAGGAGGTGGAGATGCCAGCAAAGCAGAGCGGAATGAGTACGGAGCACTCAGTTGACATCCAAGATTAAGTTGCTCAATATTGTTAGCTACCATACTCGTAGGCTTCGAATAAATCATATATGCATGGATGTATTAAAATCGCAAACATCAACAGCTAAATCGGCTATCAGGGGGATCAATCGCGCCGCAAAACCGCAAAATAATAAGAAGAAAAAAGATACTGGTAGTCATATACAAGGACCCGCTATAGACGAGCGAGGCCGCCTCTTTCACTGCGTGGCTCACCCAGCGACCGTGCAACATTGCGACTCGCCCAGTCTGCAATGGCCATGTTGGTCACCATCGGATTCACTCCACTGGCACTGGGGAAGACCGACGCATCCACCACGTACAGTCCATCCGTGTCCCAGACCTGGCAGTCTGGATCGACCACACTTGACTTGGGAGATTTGCCCATGCGACATGTACCCATCTGGTGAGCACTGGCGAACAAGGCCCGTTCCGCGTTGAGCGGGCACTTCTGACGCAGTTCTGTAATCCAGTTCTGGAGAGCCGCATCGTTGGTACCTTCCGGTGCATCGGTGCTGGACGGGTCTGGTCGGACAAATGGTGGCAGGTCGCGGTAGGTTGTGTGGAACTCTTTGGCGCCGGAGATGTAGGCAATCTTCGCCGAGGCGATCAGTCCCTCCACGATATGCTTGCGATCAAATGGTGACACGGCGTAATCAATGCGGGCACGTCCATCGACTGGGTCGGGATAGACACGGCCTGCATCGCGGTCCTTGGTCAGGGTGATGAAGCTGGTGCTATGGCTCATCCCGGCGGCCCACAGCTTATAGTCTAATCCATCACGCCAGGGGAAAACTGAGATGAAGACAGATGGCATCATTGCGACGGCCTCGACCTTCACACCGTGGCCCTTGCCATCCATGTCTTCGAACTCGTTCACCACGGTGGTCAATGCTGAGCCCTCCCATGGACGGACCTCATCCTCGAACACTGCGCCACCTAGCATGACAGGATGGAGGTAGAGATTCTTGCCAATCTGAGAGTTCTTGATGCCACTTCGCAGCAGTAACAGAGGGCTGTTCAGCGTTCCGGATGAGATGACAACCTTCTTGGCCTTGATGTTGACCTTACGTTGAACTGTACCCTCGCCGCGTAGGCCCAGATAAGAATCTCGAGAGGTCCAGGTTCCCTGCACGCCGCTGGCCTTCCGCTTGCCGTTTTCCTTGGTAAAGACCACCTTGTCGGCATGAAATCCCTCGATGAAGATCGCGCCAGCCTCAGCGGCATCAGTCAAGAAGGACTCCGTTGGGCCCTTCTTGCCGGTTGAATGGCATCCCAGTGTGCAGTAACCACAGTAGTGTTCCCCATTCCCGGTGTTTTGAGGTACCGTGCCGGCGGCGTAGCCCAGTTTGCGTGCGCCCTCCAAGATCACATTATTACCATAGTTATGTCGGACGTTCTCGGTGTTCACGCCCATGCGGTCACACACACGATCCAAGCTCTTCTGGAACTCAAGGGAGGTGAAAAAGGGGAGACCGGCATCTGCCCATTCCTGACGAACGTAGGCTTGGGTTTGCAAGGATGCGGACCAGTTGACAGTGCCGCCGCCTCCCCACGTTGAGCCTGCCAGCACGGCCATGGAGCCATCATCGCTCATGCTGGATCCAGCATTCTCAAACATATTTACATAGCCCTCGTTAGCGGGCATTGGGAAGTGCTGGCTCGAGTACGAGTAGGATTTCTCCACCACGAGCACTTTGAGGCCTGCCTCCGCCAGATTCTTCGCGGTCACGGCACCACCGCAACCACTGCCCACGATGACCACGTCAGTCTCGATGGTCTCGGGTTTATCACCGGCCGGGAACTGCAAGAATTCAAACGGGAATCCATCAGTGGGCTTTCCATGTACGGGGATTCGCGGGAATCCGAGCACACGGCCAATGGTCGGGCTGGTCATGACCCAGGATTTCTTGACCGTAGCAGTCAGCCCTCGATATACCGCACGCAGCGGGGGTAGTCGAGAGGTATCCCATCCCCGAAAGACCTTTTCTCGAAAGGCGATAGGCTGTTGGTGAATGGGAGTCGTGGATCCCGTCAAGATCAGCGAGCCAGCTCGCGAGCTATCAAAGTCAGTATGGGGATGCAATTATGCGTAGTGTCGGTGTAAACGTACTTAAGAGCATTCAATACGAGACCGAACCCATTCTTTCCCTCTTCATGAACATGGTTGCCGATGATCCGTTGAACGGTGGCACGAAAGATAGGATTCGAGGAGACATCCTCCTCGAGGTACTCTTTGGCGAGGGCTGCGGCATCCGGGCCTGGAATCAAGGTGGACAGTTTGGTAATGGTTGTATCCCACTCCCCAGTTGAGATGACCTTGTCTGCGGAGGAGTTGACGGTGGCAGCAGTGCGGATGGACGGAATGACTGCATCGGCCAGGGCGAAGAGGGTTGTCCACTGTTGTTCCGACCAGAATTTGACATCTGGAGCAGGAGGCAGCGAGACTGACCGGGGCGAATAAGCCGACTCTGCTTCAAGTTGGTTGGCCATGGCAAGTTCAAGTTGATTATGGAGTATCTCCAGGGCTCAACTAGCGTACACTGGCAGAGGCTGATTGAGGGGGAAACGCGGAGATATATCGGTAGTGACTGAGCGGTTCGGCCAGATCAAGACTCAGACAGCCCAGATCACACTCACTCACACCGGGTGTGAAAGTAGCTTTCCCCACATTCCAACTCTTAGGCCCTCTTTTTTCTTCTATGATTTCAGTGCTTTCACAGTTTGTGCCCCAGGTGGTAGTGATGATAAAGGAAGGTAGTGGATAGAGCCTCGGTTGAATGTCGATCGGCTGGAGCAGCGTGGGTCAAGCGCGCCAATGGGCAGCAATGGTGAGAACCGAGTTTGGACGCCATGTGAAGCTGGCAATAAACTAGTCTCATCTGGGAAGTAACTGTCCTGACGAGGGAGTCTGGGACCATACTCCTATACTCCGGATAGTACGGAGGATCGATAGTATGGATAGTATCCCAATGGCTGATATGGCTGACATGGGCTGATGTGAGGGAGGAAGTGGAAATGAAGAGGTGAGGTGAGGTGAGGTGAGGGTGGAAGAAGGCACGAGGCCCGAGGATCACGAGGTTCTCCGCCTTCAACTTCATCTTCACCTTCACCTTCACCTCCAATAGGAACCTTTCCTCTACAATCTCCGATCTCAGGTTACTCCTAGGTTACTCGAGCACTCCCATCCCACCCCCATGTCGGGATCTGCTTGTTCTCTTCCCCCTGAAAAGGTCTTCTCCATTCAGATTGGCTCCGATCTCTTTCGCCTGTCGGGTGCCTCCATCGCCTCCGACGGTCCGCATATCTCCCCATCCCCATCCCCATCTCCACCTCGGATCTGATTTGACCCCCAATAGCCCCCTCCTACTTCTCTCGCTTCTTTGAAGAACAAGTACGCGCCAGCGATGCCTCCAATTGTCGTACCCTCTATATCGACCGCGACCCGGTCACCTTCCGGGATATTGCGCGTCATCTCCAAGGTACTTTCACCCAGAGCTCCCCTCATACCCCCATGAACTCGGATTGACGCACCTAGGCTACCACGTCCGTCCACGCGATGGACCGCAATTCGTGAAGCTCTTCGCCGACTCCCAGTTCTACAGCTGTACGTTATTTCCTCTGGCCCCGTCGCGCGTATGGCTAACACCCCGCACAGTGCCCCGGCTGATGTCCCAACTGTTCGAGTCCGAAATCTTCATTCAAATCGGTGACCGTCACTTCGAAATCCCTCGTGATATATTCTCGGGCCCTGGCGACTCCCCAAATTTCTTTACTCTCGGTTTTGGTGCCTTTTTCGCCTCCCCGTCTGAAGTCTTCCCCGGCTTGGATCGCACCGGTCTCCTCCGTCCACCCGCCATCACGCCCCCGAGTGTCCCCAATCGTTCTGCTGATGTGTTCGCCGATCTCTTGCATATCCTGCGTGGGTACCAGCTGCATATTCGAAACGAGGAACACCGCGCAGAGTTACTACGCGATTGTCGCTACTTCCACCTCCGCGGCGTTGAACAGAAACTCATCCCCCACAACCTTTCCATCAATCCCTTCACCCAGCGACCAGAAGTCACAATTCGTCTCGAGGATATACGACCGTCTGGTATTCATTTCTTTCCCGATAAACCTGCCTCGCCGATCCTCGGCTTGGTCGGATACGCTCGTCCCCATGTCGACGAGAAACCGGCCGATTTGATTCTGCAAACTGGAGACGACGCCGCCATTATTGATCGCCGGGGCCCAATACTCGCAGCGGACTTTTTGGGCAACTTCAAATCTCGCATGACCAATCTGTTACAAGTGGTTGGCAAGAAGATTGATCTGCCGGATCCGCAACAGCTCAGCGGGATGCCAGTCAAGGTCCGTCTTGGTCGAGATGTAGATCTGAACGTCGACGGCGAGAACGATCCCCAGTTCGCCCTGGTTCTAGCCGGGCTCAAAGACGATGAGGCTGAGCCTCCCGCTAAGCGCCAACGTTCTGAAACCCCCGCTGGGGCCCGTTGGCTCGTTCGCAACGCGCAGTGGAAACTACAACTGCAGCCGAATGGCGACAATGGATTGGAGCCTGTCCTTTTTGCCATCAAACTGGACCTCTACACGAGCCAAAGAGTTCATAATCGGGCTCGCAATTTCCTCTGAACGAAGCATTCTCCAGGCCTTTCCATCACTGACGATATATGATACAAATAGAGGACTTAGACCAGTATCATTTTTTTTTCTTTATAACTGGTGGTGTGGATGTTTTTAATCGGAGAACCCCTCCCAGTCATCTTCATCTTCATCATCTCCTTCGTCCTCCACTTCTTGTGGGTTGTCTTTGTCGGCGGCTGCAGCTCGAACCATGCCTTTCCCTTTCACCTGGAATGATGTCTCATCGCCTCTTTCGTCTTCGTCGTCTTCACCGTCACGGACAAACCCAGCGACGAAGAATCCACCCAATCCTTCTGCATCGCCGGCCCAGCAACGCAAACAGGCTTCCAGCGCCTCCTCGGGCAGATCAACCTCCGCAGGACTCCCGCCCGATTCTCCATTCTCCCGATCCCGTCGAACTCCGCGATGTTTCCACTTGCGCAGCCCGGCCGGTTGCTCGTCGCGCCGCAGAAGTCGCCAGCGGCGTCGCTGTGCGACCTCCGATGCCAGGACCCGAGCCACAACAGCCTCGTTCTCCATAAGATGGATCGAACAGGTGCTGTATGTGACATGAGTGGCAGCGGGGAAGCTCAGAGCATGCTCCACAATGCGCGCTTGGAGGTTGGACAGCTTGGTGAGCCGATCGTGGTCCATGACCCCGTCAGGCGTATCGTTCTCATCCGAGGGCGACACAGTTGGGGCTCCCACCGTCACCTTGGATTTCTCGCCTGCATCCTCCTCGTCATCAGCTTGGCGTTTGCGCTTCTTCCCCTGTGATTTTCCCGGAGCGACCTTGGTCTTGGTCTTGGGCAGCGTGAGATCTGGAACATCGTCCCGGCCGATGATTCCACTACCGGAGCAACTAGGGTCTAGCAAAAGACCCGACACATCTTGAAAACGTTCCTCTTGAGGATCCAGGGCCAGGAAATCTTGCCCTTGAAGGATTGTCACCATCGATTCCGCCCCCGCCAGAGAAACCATCTTGTGTAAAGTTTTCGAGCGCACTTTTGACGCATCCATAGAAAAGATTTGTTTCCGGCCGGTTTGCTTCTGCTTCGCGACCAACGATGCCATATGTGTAGTTTTATTGCCCGGGGCAGCACAACCATCCACCAGATTCCCCACCCAAGGATCATCCGCACCCCGATCCCCCAGCAACAGATAAGCAGGAAAGCAAGAAGCCTTGTCCTGCAAGATAATCTCACCATTTTTGTAAGCCGGCGAAGAAGTAAAATCCGCCCCGTACGGAACAGCCACGAGGTCTGGGATATGCGGATCACGATACAGCAGCTTCTGCTTCGGCTGGCCTTCATCCGGAGGTGCTAATTGCACCAAGGAGTCCACTTGTCGGTAATCAGCAAATGTCGTGCGAAGTTGGCCGTCCAGGGTACTCCGGATATTATTGACGCGCACCCAGCGTGGGTACACGAAATGAGACGAGCCATCCGCCTCACGCTTTTCTCGCAGAATCTTCGTCTTGAGCTGTTCGACGGAGCCACAGCCGCGGCGTACGCGCGATTTGGTGAACTCGGCCTTCAATCGGACTTTATGACGTTCGACCGCTTGACGGAGCGGGTGTGTGGCTGGGGCAGCGATGCCCCTTTTTGCGAGGAGGTGGTCATGGACGAGGAGCAGGGCGAGAAGAGGGTTGAGCTGGGTGATTGGTTGTCAGCGGACTTGGAGAGGGAAGATGGAAGATGCAACTCCAAGAGATTGCAAATGTAGATGCAAATGCAGACGCAAGACTCACCTTTCGCTCCAGACTCAGGATGTCGGCATTTTCAATCACCTCGGCCAGGATGGTGTCCCATTTCGCGGCTTCGCTGACGAGGGCATAGATCTGAGCCGGTTTGGCTCGGAGATCGCGGGCGCTGTAGATGCGAGATTTGAAGGAGCCACCAGAGGCTGGTGCGGTCAGGATGGCCTCCGCATCGAAGTAGAGGGACATTTAAGTAAGTCCTGGGTGGGTAGAAACCTAGGCCTGGGCCTGACTGAAGGTGGATTGAAATGAAATGAAGTGAAGTTGAAGTTGGATTAAATTTGGATGGAAGATGCCGCGAGATAAAAATTTGTTTGGTTTGTTTGCACTGCGGAGAGTCCCGCGTATTCCGCGGATTCAGGGAGTACTACTAGAGTAGTAGTATACTTGTATACTATAGAGAATGGGGATATCTATTGTAGGAGACTATATAGGAAGATGCTGTGGAGCTAGAACTGGCGATAACGAATATACATACACTATACTATATATTCTATACGGATACTGCTAGTATACAACATGGTCATGTGACTGACAGTGCTACCACTACAAATAAGCAGTATAAACCAGCAAGACTACTATTAGTAGCTTGCCCAGATGAATTCACAGCTTTTGCTAGGTATTTGATGAATGGGAATTTGAAGCAGATAATGGGTAAAACTGACTTCTACTGCCCTATGATACCAGGCTGTGGAGTGAGTATACCATGGGATTGCTAATTGGAGTGACTCATTGAGTAGTAGTCCTAGTATACTACCAGTACCTTATATACCTTATTGAAACTATAGATGAACTCTAGTATAGTATCAGTTACCTCGGTAGAGAATAATTCTATGAACTACTCTTAGTATGACTCTACTTGTACCTCAGCGCATCGACCATGGATCCACCCAGCACAGACCTCGGGACTCCCTGAGCGTACCTTGGGGTAATCGAACTGATAACAATACTTTTGCACCACTTGTATACTCTCCTCTCCATCTCCCTCACATCACCACTGCCAGCCTGCGTGCCCACCCAAAATGGCCTCCAATCCAACCTTCACAACCTCAATGCAGCCACCACCAGGCCCAAACACCCCCCTCGCCCTCCCAACATCAACCACAACCACCAACCAAAACCCACAAACCTTCAACGAGGCAATGAAAGTCCGCATGCGCGTCTTTGTCGACGAACAAAACTGCTCTGCAACTGCCGAAATCGACTCTGACGATCCCCGGAGCTGGCACTGGGTGATCACCGACAACAACAGCAACGACCAACCCATCGCAGTCATCCGTCTGGTCCCCCCACCCCAACCACCCCACGAACACCTCACACATCCGGGAACAAGCCCGCAGCTCCCAGAATGGGATTGGAATCATGAGCCGTGCATCAAGTTAACTCGGGTCGCCGTGGTTCCGGAATACCGTGGCCTCGGCCTCGGCCGACGGCTCGTTGATACGGCGCTGGAATGGGCGAGTGCGCATGCAGGCGAGATTAATGCGGCGATGCGTGATGTGGCGGGGCGGGAGGGGAATCATTTGAAAGAGGGATTAGGGTCGTGGAAAGGGTTGGTGCTTGTTCATGCGCAGGTGGATGTGGAGCGGATGTACCAGGGACAAGGCTTTCAGACGGATGAGTCCTTGGGCAGATGGGATGAGGAGGGGATTGAGCATGTTGGAATGTTTAAGCGGATTCCTCTTGCGTAGTAGCCGCAGCCTGCAGGTTGATAGATCTACCGTTTACTCGAGATTGGAATTGGGATAAGCGAAAATCATAAATTAACTGGACTAGCATCGAGCGATGAGCCGGTTTCCGGCGGATCAGGATCAGGACCAGGAGCCAGAAACAAAGACAAAACGAGGTCGCCACTCGAAACATGACGGGGTATCCTGATCAAACAAACACATTCGTAGATGTAAACACAAACCCAAAAACAAGCGCAAAGCAAGCAGAAATCAAGGCAATGCCAAGTGCGACAATCCTCTCTATTTGGGGTGAGGAGTCATGACAGCCAATCCGAATTAAAATCAAAGCAACTTGGGCAAACAAGACAAAAAATGATGCCCGGGTCAAAACTCCATTCCATGTCGCATAAAACAGGGTCAACAGGACCGACAGTCCGGACTGTCGGATCTGAACCCAAGAAGGGTAAAAAAAAAAAAAAAAAAGTGGAAAAGAGGTTCAAGGAGTCGAAGTGAAATGATACTGCCACCAGCCAGCTGATCGCAGAAGAGAGACAAGCTGAGCAGTGAATGCAATCAGAAAGTGCTCCAGTTCCAGTCCCGGGGAACACTGGCGGCAACTTCCGCCGTTTGACCGAGATTTGCCCGGAGGGCAGCAGTACCGTTCATCTCGCAAGCAGCCAAGTCTTCGGTGTGCTCCGTCTCGCCCTCGATGTTCTTCGCATCGATCGAGTTCTGAATCTTGCTTAGGCGGTTGGTGCGGGTCTCTTCCCAGCGCGAGTAGGCACTCCAGCACAGGTCGCAGGCCCGGGACGCAGAGCCCTCCGGGTGGAAGCGAGCATGTTGGTCGAGAGGGACCATGTGCGGAGTGTGAGAGGAGCAGAAGACGTGGCCGCAATGGCGGCAGTGGTGGCGGCGCAGGAAGAGGCCGAAAGAGGAGCGGCAGGTGGGAGAATCGCAGTTGGGAGAGGCAGAGTCGGCCTGAAATGATCAGCATGGGGATTCTTGAGAGATGCGTGATGTATGATGTGTGGTTGGGGTAAGGGTAGACTGTTTCATGAGCACGCCATCCATGACGAGCGCGCACACGACATTCTAAGCGGCGCATACGCCATCTCAAACCAGCCACCGGGATTTATATATAAAGAGGGAGGGGCATGCAGGGTAATCAGAGATCAGTTTTAACTCACCTTCCAGTGGTCCCTCGTGGGGTGGCCGGTCACTTCTCCGAGGGACTCATTCTTCATCCACTCGTTTTCGGCTGACTTGCTAATACCGCTCGAGTTGCTCTCCATAGTGGAGCGTCGGCTAATCGGCTCGGTGTCCTCGTTGAGGCTGTCCAGTGATCCATGCACACTCCGGGGTGGAGTAATGGGGGAGGACTTTTGCGGGCGCTCTGTCGGGCGAAGGGCCGCGGGGACGTAGAGGGGGCCCTTGGGGGGACGCAGCTGGCGCGACTGAAGAGGGAGTTGGTGGAGAGAGGCGGTGGTCAAACGGGGAGAAGTGGGCGAGTTATTTGAGGGAGTTGTGGTGGTCGAGTTGGTAGTAGAGTTGGTAGTAGAGTTGGTGGGAGAAGGGTGGCCATAGACGGAGATTTGGTTGGCACCGGGAGTGGCAGTGACAACAGAAGTGGCCATTGTGAATTGTGAGTGGGTGGTAGTGGTAGAAGAGGAGAGGAGAGAGAGTAGAGAGGAGGTGGTGGTGGGAGAGTGGTGTGGTGAGAGAGTGGTGTGGTGAGAGAGTGGTGTGGTGAGAGAGTGGTGTTTAGTGAATTAGAGGATGCCGGGCACACGAGCACTTAAGGAAAGGAGAGCCATAAGTGGTGATGTCGAGGGGGCAAAGCGAAGGCAAACGCGCGCGCGGTGAATGGCCGAACGAAGTGGAGACGGGACGTTGCGGATCCGTTGGAGATGCCGATCGGGTGAATGGGAGGTGTGAGTATACTCGGAGTGGATTAGAGTAGTCTACTCTGTAGTAAAGTAGATGTTTACTTTGTGGTAGAGTAGAGGATGTAGAGAAGAGGAGAGGAGAGGAGAGAAGAGGAGTGGTGGTGGAAGGAAGGGAGAAGTGAAGGAGGAAGGGGCGGAGTAGAAAAGTAGAGAATGAGAGGAAGAGAAGAGTACTTTGGACACACCGACACCACCACCACCAACACCAACACCAACTGGCGGTGTCGGTGTGTCCAATACGCGGTTGGCAACCCGGTTGGCATGTGCTAGTAGCATACTACTCTCGTATACACTTAGTGTAGCTACAGTGCACACTACTACAGTGTATGTACGGAGTACACTGTAGGCTAATATTGATCTAGTGATACTACTGTATCCCGTATGTGAGATCCCGACCCCTCGAGTCGCGGCCCACTTGTGCCGCCCCATCGGATCCGGTGTACAGTATGTCTCTGTATACACAAGTCAAGCTAACATCATGACTATACTAGTATAGTAGAATCCTGTATACCTGTATACAGTAGTATACAGTGGTATACTTATACTTTCTCTGTAAATGAGTCAAGTCGAGTACTTTGTACTCTACTCTACCCTAGGTGTACTGTACATACTTACTCCGTACTCCGTACTGGTGTGTACCTTCTTGGGTAAGCGTAAGTAGAGTTCACTAGCGCCTCACACTGACCAACCACAAAACGGTGGCGTTCCTCCCTTATCAACGGCCTCTGATTGGTGGAATTCTTACCTTGTCCACCGGTTCGGGAATGCACGGGCCGGCTCCGCGGAACCCCAGCCAATCATCGATCGAGGTTTGTAAACTCCTGCAGACAACAACGAGAAAGAGGCGAATCGTGGAGGGGCGGAGGGGCGGAGGAGGGGCGGGGAGCGGGTCATGGTAGGATGCGGAAATCATCCAGAAGCATTCACATTCGGGCGTTGACCGAGTTGGAGTGTGTCCGAGCGCTAACGAGGTTGGGGTAGGAGCAGGAGGAGTACTCGGACGGAGTACTCTACTCAAAAATGCGTCCTCCGAGGAGTTACAGAATACGGAGTAGTACATATGTATAGTCTATATTAGTTGTTTCACTTAAGAGGAGAGTACGGAGGACGGAGTACGGAGTACTCCTACTCCTACTCCTACTCTCCCGTATGTACATTAGGGTACTCACACCGCATCTCGGTCTCCGTTTGCATCCAATGCCAGCCCTGCGATCTGGGGTTGACACATGGTGATGTACATGTACATGTACGTCAAAGATGTACCTTGACTCCATCTTTTCTTCTCCATTCACTCGAACCATAATGTATCCTACTCTAACCATGGCGTCATGACTTTTCTTAACCTTCCCATAAACTTAGACATCGGATATATACTCCGATCAGATCTCATTCCAGTAGTACTAGTAACTAATACGGATACTGTATACTAGTATAGCAAAGTATACTCCATACTCCATACTCATCACCATGAAACTCGCCGTCTTCAGCGCCAAATCCTACGATCGGGTCTACCTCGAGGCAACCCGCCCGACATATCCCCACCTCCACATTGACTACCACTCCTTCGCCCTCACCCAGGAAACCGTCTCCCTCGCTCGTGACGCCGATGCCGTCTGCGTCTTCGTAAACGACACCCTCGACGCCCCCGTCCTGCACGCCCTCCACGCCTCAGGCGTTCGAGCCATTCTCCTTCGCTGTGCCGGCTTCAACCACGTCGACCTTCCAACCGCCGAATCCCTCAACCTCTTCGTCGCCAACGTCCCCGCCTACTCCCCCGAAGCCGTCGCTGAATTCGCCGTCACCCTCGTTCAAACCCTCAACCGTGCCACCCACCGCGCCTACAATCGCGTCCGCGAAGGCAACTTCAATATCGAGGGCTTGCTCGGCTCCACTCTGCACGGCAAGACCGTCGGATTAATCGGCGTCGGCCGCATCGGGCTGGCCACCGCGCGGATCTTCGAGGGCTTCGGATGCCGCATCGTCGCGCACGACCCTTTTGCGTCCGCTGAAGAATTCCGCCCGTATGGCACACTAGTCGATCTAGATACCTTGCTCCGGGAGAGTGAGGTCGTCAGTCTGCACTGTCCATTGAATGAGGGGACCCGCCATTTGATCAATGCCGACACCCTGGCCAAGATTCGACCCGGCGCCATCCTGGTGAATACATCCCGTGGTGGATTAATTGACAGTAGTGCGGTGATTGCTGCCTTGAAGACGAAGACGCTCGGCGGGTTGGCCTTGGATGTGTATGAGGCAGAGAGTGAATTGTTTTATAACGATCACTCGGGTGAAATTCTTCATGACGATGTACTCGCAAGGTTGTTGACATTCCCCAACGTAATCGTGTGCTCGCACCAGGGGTTCTTTACTAAGGAAGCCTTGACCGAGATTGCGGGTGTGACGCTGGGAAATCTAGATGACTTTGTGAACTCGCGGAAATGTGCCAATTCGCTCGTCGCGCATGGTCATGTTTTGGTGAAGGAGGATTCGGCTCCCGTGCGCTTGTAGTTGAGAACCTCTTAGCGCGACTAGCATCATAGGATTGGGAGTTAGGTGTTTCATGCTGGGCAGTGATATTTCATTATAATTAATCATAATCATGACAGTAGTAGTCTAGTGTATAACATAATATAATAACTCATAATCAAAGAGGCAACGGGTTCATGTTATCAATGTACTGGAACTGGGTATTGGGTACGCGTACGGGTATAGGGATGGGCATGGGTATTCACATAACGCAGCATTAAACGCACCAGAAATCAAATCCTGGCGACCAACTGCCGCCGAACAGCCATCCAAGCCCGAGGAAGCAGACGATTACCATGAACAATCAGCGGCACCACCGCAATCAACCACATCCCATAGACAATTGCCACCGCAAAAATCAGCCGGAACTGCTCCATGGCAGAGGCAAGAACAGTTGGTCGTGGAGGTCTCGAACCGTGTGCCTCTTGGTCAGTCTGGACCAAAGCATCAGCCATCTGCCACGCTGCACGACGATTGATCTTCTCCCAGGTCGTATCATCCGCAAATTGACGCGCCGCAACAGAAAGCGAGCTCCGGAGCTCAGTATCACGAGCCACCTGTCGGGTCAATGAGGTGAATTGCTCGAGATCGTTCGGGGGAACAAGATACCCCGTCTTTCCATGAAGTATAATATCCGAGGGCCCACCCTGATCGCGCGCGATAACGGGAATCCCACTAGCCATCGCCTCCAAGACGACCAGACCAAACGTCTCAGTAACAGAGCAGTGCAGGAAGAGGTCCGCCGAGGCGTATGCGCGGGCAAGAGCGGCGCCAGTCAGAAAGCCGGTAAACTCCACATGGCGACGAACAGGGTCGAAGAGACGCTGGACTCGACTCTCAACCACGGGGTTGCGATTCCCACCCACGATGAGCAGCTTGAAGGGAACCTTTTCCGAAGAAAGGCGCATCGCGACCTGCGCGAGGAACTCGAAGCCTTTCTCTGGGGCGATGCGACACACGCAGAGAAGAATGACTTCGCCATTAGGTGCGATTTCCCGGCGGAAGGAAGCGTCACGCTGGTCTGGCGTGAAAAGCGTCGTGTCGACCCCACGACCTAGCTTGACCATTCGGTCAGCTGGAGCTCCAGCACCTTCGAGATAACCCCGGATAGCAGAGCATGGGTAGAAGATAGTGCGCACGGCGCTTGTTCGGAATAGAAATCCCTGCACGGTAGCCAGTAGCCAGACGCCAAACCGATCTAGAGGCGCGGGCAGCATGATCTCAGAATATGCTGAGAGGTCGGTTTGGAAGTTGAGCAGGACCGGGGTGGGGAGCGCAGTTGGCGAATCTGCAGCAGCATTTGGAAGCCCAGGGAAGCGGGGCTGGCGAGATAGATCAGATCCGGTTCAAAGGCTTGTCGGTAGACCTCGCGCAGATGGAATGGATATACGACGGTCAAGTCGGGATTGTAAGGCAAGGCGCAACCGGGTAGGCGGCGTTCACCAGAGACTTGAGTAGACTGTTTGGCAGTATCGCCTTTGAAATCGGGCGCAACAAGGATAAGGTCGACGCCATTATCGCGGAGGTACTCGACGAGACTGCGAGTGGTACGACTGACCCCGTTGACTGGACCCCAGGACTCAGTGGCTAGAAGGATCTTCTTGCCCTTGAGGATACTCGGGAAGTTGGCGTGGGAGTCGGAATCCATGATGAAGGTGGTGGGTGCATGGTGGCGGGGGGAGGAAAGAAGGAGAACTCGAAGCAGGAGAAAGATATAACCTTTCTCCAGGGCTTCCACCGGACCCCGCTATCTCCAATGGAATGTTAATTATGTTATCACGCAGAACATTTCAAAGTGGTAGTGTAGTGCAGGTAGTGCAGGGGAAAAAGATAGTCTCTCCTCATCAAAGTTGCAGTTAGGGCGATCGCCCGCACGTGCCTTGAGCGGCCGCTGAGGAGTGTTGCTTAGCGGCCAGTCGCAATGCAGCGCGGAACGCGTGGGCAAAGGCGCAAATTGACTGGATTCAACCTGATTTGATCAGGAGGCATGAAAGGGCAAAGCTTGGATTTTGGAGGGGTCTTGGTTGATCAGAGGATCAAATTTGGTCATGGCGTACCGCATGGTGTGCTGCACCCGGAGTATAGAGCCCATACATACTAAATATACTCCCAACTTTGCACCTTTGGAAGAATTTCACCTCTCCCAGTCCGAGTCCCAGGTGATTCACTTCTAGTCAACCTTGGAAGCATGACATCTATCATGGATATCTCAACGGGTCTTGTCTCCGAGACAACTTCGAGCAGCCCCAGCTCAACGACCTCTTATTTGACCAATCTAACCACCCCTGGCGCAAGTCCTCTTTTTAGGCCAGCCCAGGGAGATGACACCAAGCTAGGTCATGTCCAGCTCTCTGACTCTCGCCGAACCGAGTCAATAAGGAATATATGCGTGGTGGGCGCGGGGTACGTGGGTAGGCATCAAAATCCTTCTTCGAAGAACAGGACCAAACAAGACTGATGGCGAATAGGGGGTCCTACGGCCGCGGTGCTCGCCCTCCATCATCCAGCAATCACAGTAGAAGTGTTGGACAAGGATCCATCGCGAATTCAAAGATGGGAATCCCCTCATCTGCCCGTCCATGAGCCAGGGCTAGACACCGTCGTGCGTATTGTACGCGATGGTGCCGAAATGACGGAAGAACCAATCCTCTCTCTCTCGTCGATGCCCACAAAACGTCGCCAGAACTTGTTCTTCACTTGCGAGTCGGCCAAATCTATCGCCCGGGCGGACATTATCTTAATGGCTGTCAACACCCCGACCAAGATGTTCGGCATCGGGGCTGGATGTGCCACGAACATGACAGTTTTCGATGGAGCGATGCGCGAAGTCGCAGTACATGCGAAGCCAGGGGCTATTATCGTGGAGAAAAGTACCGTACCGGGGGTACCCGCGAGCGTGTTCGGAAAATGGTAGCTACCACTGCGCCTCGTGCCGAGTAATTCATCTGACAGTCGTCCAGCTTTCGACTCTGCGACCGGGTGTGCCGTTTGAGGTGCTATCCAATCCAGAGTTCCTCGCAGAAGGTTCCGCCGTTAAGAACCTGACTACACCAGACCGTATCTTGATCGGTTCAGCCCCGACTCCCTCTGGTCGTCAGGCAGCCCAGACCCTCACCAATCTGTATGCTGCCTGGGTGCCTCGCGACCGCATCCTTGAAACCAACGCATGGTCGTCCGAGTTGGCCAAGCTCGTCGCGAACGCCATGCTCGCACAGCGAATCAGCAGCATCAATGCGATCAGTGCTATCTGTGAGAAGACGGGAGCAGATGTCAACGAGATCTCCGACGCGATCGGTCGCGATGTACGAATCGGACCGCAATTCCTCAAAGCCGGGCTGGGCTGGGGCGGCTCATGCTTTCGAAAAGATATCGCGAGTATCTGCTGGATCTGTGAATCGCTGGGCCTGAGCGAGGAGGCACACTATTGGCAACAGATCACTGTGATCAATGAGCGGCAGAGACAGCGATTCGCACGGAGGGTGATTGATCGATTTGACGGGAATCTCGTCGGACGCAAGCTGGCGATTCTTGGGTTCGCCTTTAAGAAGAACACAGGCGATACGCGCGAGTCGCTAGCAGTCGACGTGATTCGTATACTCCTGGAGGAGCGCCCGGCAGAGATCACCATCTTCGACCCGTATTGTCGTGAGGAAGACATTCTTCGCGAACTGGAGCCCGCTATCGCGCAAGTACCACACGGCGACCGATCCATTGTCAAGATCCACTCCGATCCGTATCTGGCTTGTTCGCATGCACACGCCGTGCTGGTGGTGACCGATTGTGACCAGTTCCGTATGTCGAAGAGGTCTTCTATGCGACCGGGCTCGGATTCGGTTGGTGGCTGCGATATCGCTGGCACTAGCACTGCTTATGCCGGGGCTCGCACTTGGACACATGCGGGTGTCTCGTATCAACTGGCACCACAGGCTAAATGTGCGGGCGACTGTCGAGACTGCCACATGATTTTGGCGCCACAGAGCGAAGCCATTGAGTGGCCTCGTATCGCATACAGCATGGAGGAGCCGAAATGGGTGTTTGATGGTCGAGGAGTGTTGGACGCGGAGTTGGAGAAATTTGGTCTGCGGTTTGACGCGGTGGGGAGGGCGGGACAACAACAGTAGAGTAGTCCTACATATTATAACTACTAGTACTCGGAGTAATAATGGAGGATCGGGAATCTTTTGTATATACGAATTAGAACGAGATTGTATTGATTTGTTTTCATTTTCTCTTCCAGGTTCTCAAAGTAAACGGTACTATTAGTAGTACTAATACAGGTAGTAGTTGGAAGTAGCTAAATATATAGTACTGCTAGTACTACCATATATCAACTATAATTTAGAACTTGACCCCTTCGACGCACTCGGCTCAAGAGAGATCTTTGTCTCTGGCCACCATGGAAAATCAGAAGGACAATCCTCTCGTGGATCCGTTTCAAACTGAGCCTTGCGCTTTTCCAAGAACGAGCCCACTCCCTCTTTATAGTCACTCTGCCCAACCATATGATGGAAAACTCGCGATTCTAGGAGATGCGCTTCTTCAGGAGAACAAGGACCTTCCCACATCAAGGCTCGACTCATCGAAGATGCCAATGGACTCACATTCTCCGCAATATCTTGTGCCAATTTCAACGCGCGTGGCAGTACCTGGGCTGCATCCGGGAGAACCTCGGTAAAGAGATCACCGAAATACTGATTCTGCGGAGGGTAAACGCCACCAGTAGTAATTAAATGCATTGCCTTGGAGAATCCCACCAAGCGAGGCAAAAAGTAAGATGCGCAGGATTCAATCGTCAGCCCCCGCCGGGTGAAGACGAACCCATACTTGCTCTTTTCATGACAGATCCTGCACGGTGTGAGACGAGGAGCAACTCTAATTATGGGATATACAAACAAACTAACCGGATTGCAGCTGGTAAAGTCATGGTCATGCCGACACCCACGGCGGAGCCTTGAAGTGCGACAATGGTGGGTTTGTGGCATCGATGCATTGCCAGCGCAACTCGCCCTCCACTGGTGAACCTGGTCAGCACTCTCTAAAATGAGACTGGGGACTGCTATATTGCATACATATCGCGGAAATCAACAGCTCTTCCCCCTCCATTACCAAATCCAATCTCGAGATCGGATCCAGCGCAGAACATCCTCCCAGCTCCGGTGAGCACAACGGCTTTGACCCGACGATCGATATGAAATAAGTTGAACACCTGGGTCAGGCTATCCGCCATCTGCGGGGTGAATGCATTATTCTTCTCAGGTCGGTTCAATGTGATGAGGACGACTGGCGTGACAGAAGATCCACCGAGCGGATAGTGGGAGAGTTTGATATGTGTCAGCTCGAGGGCTTCGTATGAGACCGGAAGGTCGATGGTAGCGGTCGGCATTTTGTTAAATTTTACCTAACTGTGTTGCAGTTAGTGATAGAAATTAATATCCAGACTTCTTTGTTGTAGTTAAGCAGCGCCATGTAGTTGATTATACCCCTTGTTTAGAGACGTGAAGCGGATCCAGTGCCTCGGCTATCGAAGTTGATCATCCCGCGGAGGTGCGGAGAGGTTGACACATGCATACAGTATCAGAACTTCTAGTTTTAGACTAATGATTATCTGGTAAACTTGATAATTATCAGAGCTTTAACAGAGTTTATTAACTATTGCACCTAATTGTTGACAAGTAAGGCAATGCTGGTTGTGTGTACTGTGACTTTGGCCGACTTCCCCAAGTAAACCGTAGTACATATCTTCGAGTCCAGAGCTAATATTCTCCAATGCCTGACGTATATTAGTTTCAGATAGTAATGAGCCGAGACGTTCTGACGTGATGATTTATACTACTACTCATACTATCTCAATATATAGGAAGCCTGTTTTCCATATCGAATTTATGACCTGCTCAATTACACCCTCAAATTTAATCTGTTTCTAACGCAAGCGAGATCGTGCGAAGATATACGCCGAGGAAAATCCTATAGAACTTGAATTAGATATAATGAATGGATCTACGAACACCAGGCGATGAGACACTACAGAAACTCAAGACGACTTTAGTTGACCTTGACCCCTGGACGGACCATCTACCATTTCTAGTGGTACAACAGGGGTTATTATAGATCAAATTCACTACTCAAGCATAGAAATGGGTAAAAAGTTACAAATAAACTATCCCACGCGGCATTGAACGAACTCAGGGTCCTTGTAAGGCTACCGTATCGACCAATTTTAAGTCGACCTATTTTAGTGAATCTTCCGGCCCTAAATTCAGGGCCACATGGCTAGTAGAACCCGCCAATGTAAATAAGTAATTAAATGCGATTCTGAGCCTTAGTTTAGCGCATACAAATCCTAGGAGTTGGCTTTAAAGCGGAATTCTTGGACCTTGTGGCCCACAGTATACCCAGAAAGTGATCTCCGAAACGAACCATAGAACAACATGAAACGGCGTTCCTGAACCCTTTCCTTCTTACCACCGCAGACAGATAATTCGGATTAGTAGGTATAAAAGGCATACTCAATTCATTTTACGGGCTTCTTTAGATCGACCGAAAAGTATTCCATTGGGCTGCATAAATAACGCTGGAATATAAAAAACTCGATATCCCCGGCAGAATGACCTTCGAGAAGCAGAAAAATCGCTAGCTCTAGTTTCAACAAGTCGATTCTTTGAAAAGGGCTATTATGAAGCTTCGTCTTATTACTCTGGTCCTTGCTGGCGCGGCCGCCGCAAGCCCCATGGGCCTCCAAGAACGCCAATGTAAGTCACCCAAAAATTCAAGTTTCGAAGAATCTACTCAACCTCTAAGCCCTACTAGAATTTACTGATTCCTCTTCCAGTTTCGAGTGGTAACGAGCTTCGGGATGGCTCTTGCAAGCCAATTACCTTCGTCTTCGCCCGTGCTTCCACTGAGCCTGGTCTATTGGTGCGTCGATGATCTGCTTCTATGAACAATATCGGACACTAAGTGTAGCGAAGGGAATCTCTACCGGACCTGCTGTCTGCAATGACCTGAAAATGGCCAAGGCTGGGCAGGTTGCCTGCCAGGGTGTTGGCCCGGCCTACACAGCCGACCTCATATCCAATGCTCTTCCTGACAACACCTCCCCGGCTGCGATTGCTGAAGCGGAAGGTCTGTTCAAGCAGGCAGTGAGCAAGTGCCCCAACACGCAGATTGTTGCAGGCGGATATAGGTGAGTGATACCATGGAAATCATCTTGGATGTTTCAATTAGTTTCTCTCTTTTGTCAAATATGCTAATGATATATGGCTATAGTCAAGGAACTGCAGTTATGGATGACTCGATCTCCAAGCTTCCCGACAACGTCAAGGAGAAAATCAAGGGTGTTGTGCTTTTTGGATACACCCGCAATGCCCAGGAGCATGGCCGGATTGCAAACTTCCCCAAGGAAAAGACCAAGATCTACTGTGCTATGGGAGACATGGTCTGCGATGGTACACTGATCGTCGGCCCCGCCCATTTCACATACGTCGCAAACACTGGCGATGCCAGCCAGTTCTTGCTCTCCAAACTCTCTTCTTAAGAGTTTGATGGGGTGAATTAGTACTTTCAAGTTGTTATGAGGTAGCGAGGGGTAATGTAGATCGCATTTGAATTCCTCCACGTGTATGGTTGGCTAGAGCTCCAAGACGTTTTGATATTTCTGATAATTTATAGTGTGATGCTATTTTGATGTTAAATTACGATTAATTTCCGGCAGTTGAATTAAGTGTGAATTCAAAGAATATAGTATATCAAGATCGATCGAACGGCCTGCAGGCAAGCTCAAAACTGAAGAACTTGAGTTGGGTTCTAGTATTCATCCCGTTGACAGCAACTACTAGTGTCGGTGCGTTGACGGACAATGTGGATTCTCCTTCCGTTTTCGAATGGAAAGGACTTTCGAGATATAAATTGAAATCTTCAATTATATATTTGTATGCATACTTCTTTCGTATTTGTTAACGACTTGTGCATGTCAGATCGTGTAGGCCGCCACTTCGCACAGCATGCCGAAATAGGCAATTAGCTCACGCCCAGGTTAAAAAGGAAGATAATAGGCTTGGATATGGATGAGAAAGAAACGAGGAGAAATTGAGTAGGAAATTATCTGCGTTGTATACATTTGTTCTATTAGAAAGCCATGTTGCAATGCGGGGGGTTGTCTGGTTAAAGGGAGAACCTCGGGAGAGCGAAAAGATCGCCGGGGAGAAACCTTGAGAAACAAGGATATATTCGTAAACGAGAACGAGGGATCTTAGCAAGCAGGGCGATCCAGACCGTGGGACCAACCAAAGATGAATTTTAGAGGGGAAAATGGGTCTCACATGAACTGCAGATCCAAAGCTCGGCTTTCACCTTATCAATCGAGCCTCGGGCCATTCTATTGCATCATCGTTCTTATAACTCTTCATATCCGCGCAATTCTCTTTCAATATTTCCTAGTCTTACTCTTACACATACCGGCCATTTTGTGCTCTTCCATTTAATATTCCCATCACCATGACTGACTACAATCAGGGCTGCAAGATCACCCTTTACTGGTATGGAGCTGCGCCCGCCATTTCTCATTTTTCAGCCGCCCGCTAACTTTTCGCACACCAGGCTCGAGCAATCTCGAAGCCACCGTATTCTTTGGCTGCTGGAAGAGCTGAAATTGAAATATGAGCTCAAGACTTTCAAACGCCGCGCCGACAAGCTTGCGCCCGCCGAGCTGAAGGAAGTTCATCAGCTGGGCAAGTCGCCTGTCATTACCGTCGAGGCTCCCGGCGCCTCCAAGCCCCTCGTGCTGGCCGAGTCTGGCGCGATTGTCGAGTACCTCGTCGACCACTTTGCTCAAGCGCGGCCGTCCCTGGTACCCACTCGCTATACCGAAGGCCAAGAGGGCAAGGTCGGCGGCGAGACTGAGGAGTGGATGCGCTATCGCTACTTCATGCACTATGTGGAAGGTAGCTTGATGCCATTCTTGGTGATGACTCTTGTGAATGACAGTGAGTGATCTGTTTTTCGCATCGCATGACCTCTAGTTTATGCGCTAATACTTTTTCTTTTTCCACCCACAGCTATTCGCAAGTCACCTCCGTTCTTCGTCCGCCCCATCACCAGCATCGTCGCATCGCAAGTCGAGGCCGCCTTCTTGACTCGCAACATCGACGGCAACCTGACTTTCCTGGAGGATCAGCTCAAGACTGCGCCCGAGGGTGGCCCATTCCTGTGTGGCAAGGAACTGACTGCAGCGGATATCTTGATCAGTTTCCCGGTGATCGCCGCCAGTGGCCGTGTGTTGCAGGAAAAGAAGGCGAAGGAGAAGTACCCTCTTCTAGGAGCCTACGCCAAGCGATTGGAGGAGGTTGACGGCTATAAGAAGGCTGTGGCTAAGATTGAGGAAGTTGAGGGCTCCTTCTCGGCTTCTATGTAAGAGGGGGAAATGAAAAAAATGTCATCTTGTACTATTTATGAATGTATACCCTAGGCATCACCAGCCTATTTGATCAAATGTCAGATATGACCAGATATGACCTATTTGAAATGTTTAAAGATGTATTCTGCACCCCTTGTGGAAGCTTATTTAGCGGGTTGCTTATTGGTGAGATCCAAATCAACGGTGGAACTGCCTGCATCTCCCCGTTTTCTCCGTAGAAACATGATCCAAGAGAAACCTTGAGTTGGTTATTGCATATATCGTAAGCGTCATTCAATGGATCCATTTGAAAAGAGAAGAAACATCTCATGATAACTGCCAGTTACTGCTGTGATTACCGTCACCATTGATGTACACGTGACTGCTGACACATCCCACATGACCGCGCACTTCGACGGCAAGCGTCACTTTGAAGCAGCGACGAAAGACGAAGACCGTCAATCAATTCCTTTCCACCTGCAATCATGGCCGGCCCCAGCAAGTGTGAGTCTGATTCATGTTCGATTGACCTACGCAGTATCCTCCTGCTAACCCATTGATCAGCTCTGGTCCTTGACCCGGCGCTCCAGAAATACTACGGTACATGCCCTTCCCCATCTTCAATCCAACCCGACACTCCGAGAACTCAAGAGTTCCCTAAAAGCATGACGGAGCTGTCGTGCATATCTAAATCTGCTTGACCACCCAATTCCGCTCAAGCGGCTCTCTTGGAGTTCCGGCGCGGCTGGTCGCACACCCCTCATAAAGCAGTTACTAACAGACCACCCAGAGCTCAACGCCAACCGCTACAAGTACTTCAAGTGGACCCCGCGTCACGCCTGGACCTCCATCATCTATGCCATCGCCATCCCTGCTACGCTGACTCTCGTCGCCTACAAGACCGAGGTAGGTAGACCCGACCTCCCCACTCGGGGCAAGGGAAGAGACCAATTTGCGGGGAACTTCGCTAACAGTTCGCAGGGCCTGTTCGAACTCCGTGGCAAGCGCAAGGGAGACACCATGGTCGAGTGGTAGATTGTTTCTGAACGACGATTTGAATTGGCTAGGAGCAGCGAAGTGGTGAGAGCGACATGCGATCACGGAGATATTCCCCACCATTTTGCATGGAGAGCCAAAACTGCTTTCTTTTTTTATTCGGCTGGCGCCCGCTTTTCAAGGGCTATGTACCTTACTATGAGCATATACCGCATTGATTTTTCTTCTGTCTCACTCTCCGACTCCGCGTCTCGATATGCAACGGCTCGTTACCGGCGACATCAAGCTCCCATTCAATGAACCATGACATTGTTCGGAGAGTTGCTGCTACGGTGCTTGTCCTGGAGATCAGGATATTTGGCCTTCACAAGACCAGTACAGGTATGTTTATCTGTATTGCGTGGCTGTAGATGCTATGCGGAGCCTCTCACTAGCCACGAGCCAAGTGTAGAGAAGGTAGATGAGCGACCACAGTAGGCCGTAGCTCTCTGATATTTTTACGGAGATTATCGTACATCGTTCACCCTCCGCACATTTCACACCGTCCTCATTAATTCTGATTGAACGTCATTGTGTCCTTCCATCTCCTCAATAAGGGTTCCAGCCACGACGACCTCCTCGGCCGCCTCGCTCCCCACGATCTCCTCTACCTCCCCCTTCTGGCAGTCTCTCTCCACGCTTCCAATCCCCCACTGGCAAAGCAGGTGGACCTCCTCGATCACCACCTCGCCCACCACGACCAGGCCTTGGGAATCCATTATCCCGGAAAGCACGCATACCTCCACCTCCTCCACCTCCACCGAGCGGCGGCGGACCAGAACTGCCCCGGAGAGGCGGCGCAACTGACCCATCGTCTAGAGGAGGCAGAATAGCACACTCCACATAATCCCCAATCAAAAACCTCGCATCCTGCAAAGTCTTATCGGTCTCGGAGCCCGTGAATCTCGGCGGACCAGCGCGAGGCCTAGCCTCCGCTCGATCATCCGCATCCTCATCACCCCGGTACGGACTATCCCTCGGTCCCACGATCACAGTACCCAGATCGCGACTCGTATATTTCCCGCGCGCATCGGGACCCATCATCGCCGCACCGCGTGCATCAGGGAACACCAGTCGATAGCAAAGCCGAGTACCAACAGGCGGGTCTGGAAGTAATGAAGGCAGGGCGGAAGTGAGAAGCTGTGATAACTCGCGAAGCGTGCAGGATTGCCAGGTGTAGATCTCCAGATGCGCGGGCAGTGGTGTAGCAGCTGGGGAGGAGAGGGTGCGCGAATGGCGTTTGGTCCGCTAACGGGGCCGCCACGTCGGGATGGTGCAGGCGTGTTATAATCGGAGAGATGGTGGTAGTTGTTTGCTCGGTAGAAGAGCTTTAGATGAAATGGCGTGGTGGTTTGTCGGTTGATTGCCTTGGGGGCTTCTCGTGAGGGACCAGGCATGGTGGATTCAGCGCGCGATGTGTCGCGTGTGACGCTGGGGGTAGATTGATTGTCGAAAACAGGTAGTTGAAGGTTGCTATAACGGAAAAAGTGGTCTTAAAGATCAAATGACTGGAGATTCGGTGTTGTGGGGGAGACAAAGAGCGAAAGTTGTGGGAGGAGTGGCTGGAGTGGAGGAGAAGTTGAGTTGAAGTTGAAGTTGGAGAAATCCCCCAATGCGGGCTCTGCCTTCGGCGAAATCTTTCCTCCTCAACTTCACCTCCGCCTCCACGCCTACACCTTCGCCTTCACCTTCACCTTCACCTACACCTACGCAACACTGTGAACTGAATTAAGCTTGGAATTGAAGTGACGAGGACTGATCGGAAACCTACATCCTCCCATACCCGCCACGATGGACTTTGCGGCTCTCATGTCCAAAGAGATCTCCAAGGCCAAGGGTGACTCAAAGTCATCTGGCCCTGGTAAAGACAAGGACAACACCCCCGAACCTACGAAGAAATATATGCGCCGAGGGGAAGTCGAAGCAGCTCGAGTAGCAGCCTACAACGAGGAGCAGGAGCGAGCAGAGCGCGATCGTCAAGAGCGCCAGGCCAACAAACGCAAGCTGGAAGAGGACGAGGCCGCTCGCAAGCGAGAACGCGAGGAGAAGAAGCGCAAGTTTGCCGAGGAGTCAAAGAAACGACGTGAGGAGGAAGAGGAGGCCGCTGAACGTGAACGACGACGAAAGCTCGGCTTGCCTGAGATGCCATCTAAGAGTGACGCTGAACAGACACCGGACAATGCGGAGACAGAGGATATTGAGGAGGATGAGCTTCTCGCAAAGCTCCGGGAGATTGATGAACCCGCCCGCCTATTCGGCGAGAACCATCAAGCTCGACTTCGTCGTTACCGCCGCCTCGTCCAGAGGGCTGCTTCCAAGCAGAAAATCACCGATGGCCCCATCCCCACGATATTAGAGCCGGTGCCCGGCGCGAAAATGATTATTCCAGCCAAGATCCCGAAAGAACAGGACGAGCGGCTATTCTTGCTGCGTCAGCTTGGCTCTTACTTCAACATGGTACTTTCAGAATGGGAGTTGGCCCTTGCAAAGCGCGATATAAGCGTGCGCCAAAGTTTCCAGGGAAAGCAGGCGTACAATGCCATGCTTCAGTCACGCGAGAATATGAAACCGCTGTTCCGTCGCTTGGAAAAATCAGACCTCGAGGATGGACTACTGGAGCCAATCGTGGAGATTGTGCACAAGGCGCAGCAACGAAAATATGTTGATGCTAACGATGCATATCTGCGTGTGAGCATTGGTAAAGCGTATGTTTCAACCCCTTCCCTTCTATTCCCTTCTCTTCCCAAGAAAGAAACCTAGTGCTAACTTGACTACAGTGCCTGGCCCATTGGTGTGACCATGGTTGGTATTCACGAGCGATCCGCCCGCGAGAAACTTCACCAAAGTGATCAACAAGCGCATATTCTTAGCGACGAAGCCACCCGGAAATATCTGCAGAGCATCAAGCGTTTACTGAGCTTTGCTCAAGTGCGCTGGCCTCCTGAGGACCAGCTCCAGGTCATGGGCTAAAATTGAAGCCTCTCACGCATGATTCAATTAAATATACCCTTGGCGTTTGACTCTAAAGGGGTCTTTGTATATAATATGCCAAATACGGCATTTCCCTTGAAACTGAACAAGGTCACATGTATTCAAGTTCAGACATTCGAATATCGGGGCCTCAAGTGACGAATAGCAACTTGGAAACATTCATCAAGGTTCTCTCCGTGGTATCATCATGATCAGACACCGCTTTTATTCATCGCTCCAAGTCATGTCAGATTCGTGACAGCCTCTTCCACGATTCTAAGGAGAGCCTCGGGCTGACTCAAGAAAGGACAATGACCCGAGTCAATAGTCTTGGTGATCAGCTTCCCACCCATGTTCACAGCATCCTGGACCATGCTCTGTTGTAGTGGCAACATAATCGCCATGTCCCGGGCGCAATAAATGTATGTTGTGGGCAAATCCTTCCAAGGTGCACCTGAAATCTTGCCTGATGCCGCGAACAAATTGTGGGTGACGTTCTTGGAAGCTAAATCTTTGGCTTTGATAGATTCAATATCGTTGTAGAAAGACTCAGGAGCATTCTTTGCGAAGAAAGTGCCGTCTCCATTATCGCTCAGGTCCACCTTGCATTGGAAGCCGTATTTTGCAATGATATCGGTCAGAGTATCGCCAGGCTGAACAAGCCATGCACTGAGGAGGATTAATCCGACAGCACCTTTCCCGTTGTTTGCGTATAGATTGGGGCTGATCGCCTCTGATGCAACCATTCCGCCGTAGGAGTGAGCCAAGACAAGAATTGAATTATTCGTATCAATGAGCTCCTGGACCGCCTCACGGACTGCTATGATATCATCATTCATGGTGGCAGCTGGCGGGCGCTTGTCACCACAAGATGGTAGACGTGGGCACTTCACAATGAACCCTGCCTGGCGAAGTTGATCCCCAAAGGCATCCCAAGCGGCAGGAAGAAAATATCCGCCGTGGATAATGAGGACTGCGGTGGGCTTATGGTTTGCCATGATTTTCTGTCGTAACTTGAAGTTCCGCAGTATAAAGACCGGGCAGTCCGTGCTAAGAGAAGAGCTCGATGGGAATGACAGTGACAGTTGTCTACCACAAGCTTTCGTGGAAGCAGACGATTTGGGGATTATTTTTAATCTTGTTCAAAAGGGAAAGGCAGTGAATGCACCTTGCAGGGAAGCTGGTATTTAAGTGCTGTGGCGTGCAGATCGCCGCCAGGATGCTAGTCGGAATTAAGAGATGAACAAGGGTTGTGAGGTGGTGATGCGGATGGGGCCGGACGTCACTCCACTTTAGCAAGCCGATCTGAGGTGAGCTGACAATTTCTATTTGAATTATAGCGTGTATAAATTACGCTGCTGGAATGATCAAAACGCTTAAACCCGCTTCTGAAAAAGAAATCAATCCACTCATTCTCACAAATCCTCTTCAGCTAGCCTTGGGAGCGACCTACAGTGACTACAACCAAAAGGCAGAGGGGCTACTCGTACTTGGTGTCTGAATGCGGAAAATATATGGCCAAGACACGATTCTTACTAGTACTTTGAGGAATTAGTAAGGGACGCAACCTCGGAACAGGATGAGCTTAGTTGAAATTATTGGAACGGGCGATGTCTATATTGAAATCTCAAATGCGAGTCATTTTCAACATCCTCAGGTCTAGGAAGTGATTGTTTCCAACCGTAGCATATCTATAACGAGATTCTACACTTCCTCCAATGACCCGATAGGCGAATCCTCTGGTTGGCTCAAGTGCTGCCAGAATTAAGAGACTAACCCTTACTAGCATAATGTCTTAATGGTAGGATTGAAATGATAGTGGGGTCAAAAACGACAGCGCATTATAAGAAGGTCAAACCCCACGGCTTTTCCGCCCGTCATAAATTCCCCGCCCGCCAAGATGTCAACATCCTTGCAACCGAAGCCACAGTTAGTATCGAGGCTTGATATAGCCATGGAATCAGTCTAATGTTGTCTTTTTCAGAACCAAAGAGGCCCCCAGGGCATATCCCTGTCAAATAATGTAAGCACCACTTGTCGGACAGCCTGAAGGACTTTGCTAATGCGAACTCAATAGTCAACCGTAGAGACGAGTCGCTTAGGTATGTAATAAAGCTCCGAGTCCTCATGGAAGGCGTTCCTGACTTGAAAATGCCATTTCGCCACAGACTATCAACATGCGGTTTTCACCATTCGAACTCGCGGACTCCACCGTGCCTCATTCTCCAAATCCCCATGCCGAGTACTCGATCTTGGATGTGGAACAGGAATTTGGACTCGTCAGTTTGCTGCCAAACATCCAGATTCAACAGTTCTGGGAGTCGACCTGAATCTAGCATTAACAGATGAAACCGACGAGAACAAACTTCCTCAAAATTGCTCATTCATTACAGCAGATATCGAGAAAGAATGGGAATTCTCTTCTCAGTCGGACTATATCTACATGAGAATGATCATGATCGCCGTGAAAGACTGGCCTGCATTGCTTCGGCGGACTTTTGCTAATCTAAACCCCGGGGGTCAAGTAGAAGTGTTTGACGGATTGATGCATCTAACGGCGGATGACGGAAGCACCGCGGCGAATTCAGCAGCGATTCACTGGTTCGAACTTTCCAAGGAGTATCTCGCGAAACACGACATTGCATGGGATCTTTCTCGGAATCTCCCCGAGCAAATGATAGAGGCTGGATTCGAAGTGATCGAAAGTGAGACTATCAAGATGCGCTTGTATCCGGATAGTCGAGACCCAGAAGCCGATCGCGATTGGGTCGCTGCAAATTATCGCAAAGATATCTCTGATATTGTCCACGGAATGACCAAGCGCATGCGAACGGATCTCGCCAGTCGAATGTCGCCAGAGGAGTGGGACACCCTGGAACAGAACGCTAAACGAGAAATCCTGGAGGAGTCTGAACAACGAGGCTTCCATACTACACTGTAAGTTTTCTTGTCTATACACACATTTTATTTTATTGTTCAAGTGATTTGATCTGATATAATTCGATAGATATGTTCGAGTCGCACGCAAACCTGACCTTGGCTTGAACTTGAAGCTGTAGACTCACCAGCAATTACCATTGATTCCCTGCAGAAACCAAGGAATTGAGAATAACTCACTAAATATTTTCAATTTTACTGTTTGGTTGTAGCTACGCATAGAAACCTCCTAAAACCTCCGAACTTGGCATAATTGTAAGCCAACCCAAACCACCATACAAAGCGGGTCTACTCTACATGACGACCCTTTTGCCTCATCTTTTCCCCAGCCTTTCTGCCATACCATGTTACGCGCAGTGATATCCACATTTTGCCTCATATTCCCGTTATATTTCATCTATAAACCCCCTCAATCCTTAATTCGTTATCTCCAACGCCGCTGGCCGGATGTTCTATTCCATCACCCCACGGCAGAAAACGTCGTCGCGTTAACGATCGACGACGCGCCCTCCTCACACACAACCGCCATTCTCGACGTACTAAACGCCAACAATGCAACCGCCACATTCTTCGTGATTGGATCACAAGTCTCTGAATATACATCCGTGCTCGGCAAGCTAGTTTCTTCCGGCAATGAATTAGCCAACCATGCCATGCATGACGAGCCATCGCGCCGGTTGAGCAACACAGTCCTTGCAGAGCAAATACAGAGCGTCCAGGACCTTATCCAAGATGCATACCGATCTACCGGTGCAAATGGTCCAAAAAACTGGTTCTTTCGTCCTGGGTCGGGCTTTTTCTCCACGCGTATGCGCGCGCTTGTCTCGGATATGGGCTACCGACTCGTTCTGGGCGACGTGTATCCTCATGACCCTCAAGTGCCGTTTTCTGGATTGAACGCAAGGCATATTTTGAGTATGGTCAGACCCGGTAGTATCATTGTTTGTCATGATCGAAGGGATTGGACTGTGCCCATGTTGCAGGTTGTCCTTCCTGAACTCCGGCGTCGAGGGTATCGCATCGTTACAGTGTCTGAGCTTCTTCATGAGCCTCGGATGCAAGACTCTCTATGACAAAAGGTTGTACGAGCCCTAGAGGAATATTGAACTTGGGCGAAATTTACCAGTATTAGTCATCTTTCCCAGCATGCATTGCAAAAGGTTGTCGAGAATACTTTCCAAGGCTGGACTGTTCGGTGACATAGCAGGAAATACTGGCATACCTGGTAGCTACTAGACCCCAGGGCTCTCGGCGATCTGTCACTGGAGCCCACTGGCAGCTCTCCATCGATTATATCTACCACATACTACTACCTAGGTAGTAGCATCCTACCCTCTTATAAAGTTGATTAGATTCAAGTTGAGTTAAGCTACTAGTACTAATAGGTGACAGACCTCGGACCTTGAAGCCTGATGTCTATGAAAATGCGTCCCTAATACCTAAGTAATATGTGACTCGTTCAAATACAATGCTGGTACTTTGTATATTCATATCATAATCCAACTTGATCAATTATACACATCAAACATGTCAAGAGGTATATTTTAAGTCACAAAAGGCTTGACAAAACAAGGCAAATAAATAATGCGTTATTGCGTGAAATGCTTCAACATCTGTACAACTGTCTTCCACCAACTTTGTGCATTTGGTGTTGTCGTTTGAACAGTAGACACTTTACTGATCGCGGTATCTTCGCGCGTCAGATTTGAACCATCGGCGGAATAGACCTGATGGCCGTCGATTCCATTCATTACTGGCAGCGATGAAGAGTGAGGCCTGATTGACTCAGTGCTACTACACACGCTGCGCGACTCACGCTCACCCTCTCGCTCACCGATGAGATGGCCTGCAGTGTAAACACAGCCACCGTATGCGAAGCGGACGAGGGAGTCCCCAGTCAAGCTTCCAATAATGTATACATGTGGGGCAACCTCCAGATCTTCCATGGCTTTCGCACGAAGTGTCTGGGCAGAAACGGTCGAGTCGTTGGGGGTTTGATACCCCAGGACCTCGGACCGAAGCTGTGAGTCCAAAAAGGCCAGTGAACCTCGCCGGCCAGCAGCATAAACAAGACCACGAACGGATCGAGAAAATGTAGATCCGTCCTCACAACGGAAAAGTACCTGAGTCACATCATCTTGAACATCAACGGAGAGGATTTCGACATTCGAAAGTCCTTCGTATACGTTGTCCCAATCTCGACTTTCCAAAAAGGGGGTAGGGGTGCCGCGACGTAGCCTGGGTCGCTGGGAATTCAGAGTGGATTTCTTCATCAATCGGTAAACCCCGGCATACTCTGGATACGCCTGTTGATGGCAACCTCGGAGAGGAGATGGACGCTCATCCGGGGACCACTTGAAGACATGCAGAATTTTCTGATTTGGGGCGGCAGAAATGATGGCATCTGCAGCAGAGAAGCCTGAACCGACCACAAGACATGGTACATCGGGGGTTTGCTTTGTTTTCAATAAGGGTTGTAGTATAGATGCAGGCGGGAGAAGCTCAGAGAAAATCCCACTTGCCAGTACCAGCCGCTTACAATGGAGGTCGTGGGACTGTATATAGAACCCTTTTTCAGTACGGGAGATACCCCTCAGCTCCTCGCCGCAGCGGAAGGAATCGTCGATGTGAGCGGCAGCAGGGTAAGCACAAAAATAATCGGCAATTTCACGTCTTGTCGGCCTGGTGAAGGGTGGGAGGTCCTTGCCGGTCACTTTTTTATGGTGATCCCCGAAGGAGTAACCGGGCAAGGACAACATGGCCGCGTAGCTGAGAGTTTGAATGTCCCAGCTTGCACCATGAGGGTCCTCGGTCCATTGCCCCCCTGGAGTGGTGGGTTTTCCAAACACGAGATGTGGGATGACCTTTTCGGAAGTATGGCGCCACTCGATATTCGAGGTGGTACCTGCTTCGTCGATATCCAGACTGGGGCGCACAAGGGTGTCTAATAACACATTGACCGGCAGGGCCTGGGTGGAATATGACAGACGAGAGGCGGCAAAGTGAGCCGTCAATGCCTCCACATCGACGTTTAGGAGATTGGTCGCATGCTTCAACTTGGCGTCCAAAAGCGGGTCGGGATGCGGCGGAGTGGAGGAGTAGAAAGGAATATGGCCGTGAAGAATGTAGGACAGGATCATGGCCGACGGCCCATTGCCTAGTAGCAATAGTTAGTATTGAAGAGCACTAAGAGTCGGTTTCCTGAATGCTAGGATCGAGAAACATACCGACGATGACAGTGTCGGTTTGCATGAAGGGCGACCGAGCCTCGACCTCGAGCGAATACGGATCAACTGGCGCGGGGCATACTTGGGGATGCGACCAAGGCGAGGGATCACAGACACACAGGCCTGACACTGTCACACTGTGAAAGAGAAATAGAAGGCCAAGGCCATAGAGGAGAGAGAGGAATCTCTGCCTCCCCGGTTCGGAGAGGCGAGTTCCGCATAGAGCGGAGACCAATAATCAAGCTGACAAAAGCAGGTGGGGTGGAATTTTCCAGTGGTTCCCCATATGGAGGAGGGGGGAATGCTGTCCCGAGGGACGAGCAAAGGTCATCATCCACACGTCAGGGAGATGAAGGAAGGGAGGGATGAATGGGAGAGAAGGAGTGAAGAAGGGGAGAAGTGAAGTTGAAGTTGAAGTTGAAGTTCAGAAGTGGCAGTGGCAGTGGCCATTGAGTTGTCTACATATCGGGCAGTCGCGCATATTCCAGGTCGCTCTTGCCATCGCCGACGGGAATCACGCAAGGAAGGAGCAAGTCCGCTTTGGGCTGGTGCGATACTGCATTATACATACTACATAGTATACCAGTTAGTATACTAGTAAATATACTAGTAAATATACTAGTATTATATAAGGATAGTGATATTCTTATACTACTTGTAGTAAATCTAGGTCAATACCCAGGTAGAAGTGGATTGTTAATTATTATGTTCCTGCATGCATATCATAGAGTCATAGCCGCTCAACTCTGGTACTCTAGAACTACTACTACTGGTACTTAGTACAACTACCTGGTAGATAGTATATACTACTAGTACTACTGGTTCTACTAGAATATACTAGAATATACTACTCCCTGTACAAGAGTCCCTAGGTATATTCAAGTTCAACCTACTGGAATGCTGGACCTAGTTCAGGCAGCAAGGCATCACAGCCCTAAGCCCTACCTTCCCGTTTTGGCGACATGCGGCTCGCATTCAACTGTCCTGCATCACGTCCAGACTCGATCGCGCAGGTCGTGAGCTTTTGCGCGACTATGTATCACCTGGCCAAGTCGCTGTATACCTACGCGACCAGTAAAGAAGGTATGACTTCAAGCCCAACTCCAACTGCTCCCGCTGGACCTGAGCGCAAGCTCCCCCCCGGGATATCTGAGGAAGGTATACTGACTACGTTGCGACTTCACCTTTACAGAGTACTCCGTCCTCCTCCTCGGACTAGACAATGCAGGGAAAACAACTCTCCTGACCCAAATAAAAGCCCTCTACCAGCCCCGGCCAGAGGGTGTCCCCGCGCCCAACCCTGGCAAGACCGTCCCAACAGTCGGCCAGAATGTCTCAACCATCCCATTATCCGACATGAACCTCAAGATCTGGGATATCGGCGGCCAGATCTCCATGCGTGGCCTTTGGCAAAGCTACTACACCAGCTGCCACGCCATCGTCTTCGTCGTCGACAGCGCCGACGTCGGCCAAAACCCAGATATCACCCGTCTCCCCTCCGCCCCAGGCCGTCGACCAAGCTCCATCCCCGACCCCAACGAATCTTTCTCCGAACAAAATGTCGGGATCAACGCAGCTGCCAGTGATCTCGGCCGTCTGGATGAATGTCGCCAGGTACTCGAGTCTGTTTTGCAGAGTGCTGACGTGGCAGGCGTTCCGATCCTGGTGCTGGCCAACAAACAAGATCGCGAGGACTGCGTCGAGGTGGTGCGCATCAAAGAGGGATTTGTGCGAAAAGTCTTCGAGGGCGAAACGGGTGGTGGCGTTCGAGACAGTCGCGTGCTGCCGGTCAGCGCGTTGATGGGATCGGGAGTACAGGCTGCTGTCGAGTGGATACAGAGCCGGGTGAAGTGGAATAAGGAGAGCCGGCCGCCAGTGATGCGATAATAAGATGA